GTACCGAAAGGGTCCCTGTGCAGTTAGAGCAGGCCGATGATGTAGAAACCGACCTCGTCATCGGAGCGGATGGCATACACAGTATTGTGAGGGAGCACCTTCTTGGGCCAGATAAGTTCTCCCCCAGAGATAGGTAGGGACTTCGCCCAGGTAAGCCCGCGTGGCGGCAGAAGTTTAGTGACGTTTGCAAGTGGTTATGCATGGGTCGTTGGCTGCATGGATATAGCAGCATACCCAAAACTCCAGGAAAGGAAGGATGCCATGCACTTCACAATTGGCAAAGATGGGATCTTTTCCTATTCTGCAGGTGATCCACACTCGCTGACATGGCTGTCCATCTTTCCAAAGCAGCACCCCTTTTCTAGCAATCCTAAATACTTACTTGATCGCCATCAGCACTGGAATGATCCTGTTGTTCAGAACATTATTTCTAAAGCAGAACCTGGACGTGTTTATGACATCATGACTGTTCCAAAATTACCAACTTGGGGTGAAGGGGGGAATCGTTCTGGTTGGGGATTCAGCCCATGCAATGTCGCCCACCACTGGGCAAGGAGTTTCGCAGAATTTAGAAGATGCACAAACCCTCGCCTTACTACTCAGTATAACGACTCAGAGCTGCTATGCCGAAGAACGAATGGTAGTCTGGCAGCTGACATTGGCCGCAGCTTGTCACTGTACTATCATATCCGCCACGAACGAGTTGAGACAATTGCAGCCAGGGGCGAAGCCTTTGACAAGAACATGCTTAATGCAAAACCACTGGCGGTGTATGTGAGATATTGTTTGCTCTGGGCGCTTAATAAGTTCCCGGGAATAAGTAAGTGATATTCTCGTTACAATTGGCCTATACTGACAGAGATCCATAGTCACTAAACGGTTAAAGAGCTTGAATGATCAGCTCTATGGCTGGAACCTAAAATGATCAGTCCAATCCGCAATACACGAAAATAAAGTACTCGAGATAAAGACTTGCGACCAGTAAGGTGTCACCTCGACTCAGATGAAAACAAGCTTTAAGCCCAAGGATATAAAAGCAGAGCTGTCAAATTCCTTCAGTGCAAAGTTCATTCATTTGCATATTGTGTTGCAAATTCTAATCCTCCAATTTCCTTTGATAATCTTGTCCCTTAAAAACAGTTCAATACTCTATTCACCTTCTGATTCATGCTTCTCAAGGAAAGGACAAGACTAGAATATACAGGCATAGGTTGGTTCTCTTCAACAGACTTGCGATATATCAACTGAAACTGGGTGGCAGTCATCCTTTCCAGAAATTAGCAAGAGGCAGGGAATATACTATAGCACACATACCCTCATAAACCTCTGATCATCAACATCTTCTGTAATGTAGATTCTGTATACCCCGCATCGTAACTGTTTGCTGTTTACCTATCCTGGCCCCCTGGGCAAGGCATTAACCAGGGCATACCAGACAAGCGGTCAGCTATTGAATACATGAAAATAGACGATATATGTGACCAGATCATAAAGGCAGGACCTGATTGCACAATTATCAAATGAGACATCAAGAACGCGTTCCAGATAGTCCCCGTTGCCAAGGAGAACCATCATCTCCTAGCCTTTCAGTGGAACGACTCCACCTGCGTCGAGTGCTGCCTCCCTTTTGGCCTGGCAACAGCTCCGTTTCTCTTCAATGCTCTCAACCCGATACTCCAGTGTCTCCTTCCCGCATTTTACATTAACCACTACCTAGATGACTGCATCGCTGTCACACATTCTCCCTCAATGTCCAATCCTCCAGGTGCTTTGGATGAAGTGTACCACATGGTAACCGACTACCTAAGCATCCCTCGCAACACAAAAAAGAATGAGCAAGGGACTTGCCTTACAGTCCTAGGAATCCAAATAGACTCCATTGCGATGGGAGCTCGTCTGCCACAAGAGAAGCTGTGCCGCGCCACATTGGATGCCGCAGCTGCCCTCAACGCAATGAGTCTTGCCCTCAAGCAAACAGAGAGCCTCGCAGGCTTACTAGCCTTCTGCTCAACAGTTGTCCGGCTTGGAAGAACAAGGTTACAGTCTCTATACACCTTTCAGGCCCTCTTCCCACGTAGGAGCCGCACACGCCGCCGTATCCCTTACGAGGTACGTGACGATCTGGAATGGTGGAGGGACTCCTTGTCTCTCTTCAATGGTGTACTCCTAGTTAAGCCCTGCTGCCGTAACATCGCGCATCTTTACACAGATGCCTCCACTACAGGCCAGGGGCTCTTCTTCTTCCCATCAAAGTCTACATCAGACTGCTGGCTGGCCCATTGTCACGGGCTTCATACATGCAATGCTGCCATATTGGCCCTTGCTCAAGTCGCACACGCGCACATCAATACCGTTGAAGTAGACGCCATTCTACAAGGCTCCCTACCATTGGCTTCATCACACTCTTATTATCCACACAGATAGCTCCACAGCGCACACGGCACTAAGCAAAGGCTTCATTCATGGTCCGCCCAATGCACCTTTAAAGACCCTACTTATCCTAGCGGCGGCGAGAGACATCCAATTTATGCCATGTTGGCTCCCCTCCAGGGAAAACACATTAGCAGATGCGCTCTCCCGTAATAATTTTCAAGAAGTTGCTAACATTTATCCCCACTGCCAGGACCTCTCAGTATTGAACCGCCCGTGTGGTTCTCTTCGCGAGCTCATCAGCTCAACGCAGGCCATCTAAAACTGCTATGGAACGGACTCAGCGCCAATACCCGCTCCGTCTACCGCTCTGTTTAGCGTAACTATAAGAGACACTGCGCGCTCCAAAGCATATCAGCATGGCCAGCGTCAAAACAGTCGTTGATCTCGTGGTTAACCTCCTGACTGCTTGGCAATTCTAACCAAAACGCGATAAAGCCAGGTACCGCACTGGCAGACTTAGCTGCTCTCCGAGCCTACCATGTCGATAACTTCCTTAATGTCAAACGCTTTGATAACAGACACTTTCGGCGTCTCATCAACAGCGCGAGAAGGCTCAGCCCAACAACCAAAGTACGGGTCAGAAAGCCCATTTCATGTGAGGCCATTACAAAACTATCAATGGGCCTAGCAGTACTTCCATTATAGTCCTCAGAGATGACTACAGACCTCAAAGACTACTTAAACTTTGCAACTGCCTGCCTATTTGCTGGATTCCTCTGCATCGGAGAATTCACCTACAAGAGAGAACGCCTTGGCACACCTCTATCTTCTCATCAACAATGCTAACCCGTTCAGACATTAGGTTCTCCTCCTCATCAGACCATGCGCAAGTAAGACGGATTGCCGCCATGAAGGAGTACAGATCATTCTTGCCAAAACAGGAGATAGAGCATGCCCGGTCGACGCCCTTCAGAAGCTGCTCCTTCTCAACCCCAGAGGACCTGACACCCCATTGTTCTCCTTCCACAGAAGACCATTCAGTCGCAATAACTTCCTCTCTACCTTATCAGCTAAGCTGAGGGCGCTTGGATTATAGAGTGACGGCTACTCAGGCCACAGTTTTTAAAAGGGCGCAGCGCAGCATGCGCACGACAGTGGGATCCTCAACGACCAGATTCAGGCTCTTGGGAGATGGACCTCAGAGGCATTCAGGATGTATTTTACAATGAACGCGTCGCTCCTATACAAGCTCAACCATCAGTTTCAGACAAGGCTCGCCAGCTCCATTATCTCTGCTGATTCCACCAGCGTCCCCTCCACCAGCCTAGTTTGGCCTAACATGTTTATGCGTAAGATAGGTGACCTGTTATAGCCAAACTATACACACACTGTCTGTCTTGACTGCGCGAGGTCACCAATAAATAACCTGCATTATATGTATGGGGCCCTGAAAATCTACAGTCTTTACTTTATCTATTTCTTTCTTTTCTTTCCAAAAATAAAAAATAAAAAATAGTTCTATGGCATGAGGCTGTCAGTAAATGTACCTTACCTAGGCTATAAGCCTATAAGCTACTGATATATGGTTCAATAATCCAGACTTCAATCTCCAGTTGAGATCAAATATAGCGATAAGGCATTTAGTGGGAATCACATCTTCCATTGTAGTCAAAAAGGCAAAATACCCAGAATATATTCAAACATGAATCATGCAACCCCTCCTGTTAGTTTAGGCTGTCGATCCATAAGAGCTAGGTGCTTGAACCTTGATTATTTAAGACTTAGCCTTATTAACAACAGCTGAGCAGCCACTTTCCTACGCACCTTACAATATCATTAAAGCCTTTTAAGCAACAGTACAAAAAAATCATATCTAGACAGCTCAATGGTCAACTACGCGGTCTACGCCTTGGTGAGGCGCGCTAGGGACCGTTATACATAAGCTGCTGAATGTGTGTCATTTCAGAGACAGGCATCATGATGGGACATGCAGAGAATGCATCAGCATGTATGCAAAGCCCATGAGCCAACAGAAGTCCCACTGAGCTTTGTTAAGTGCTTTGTCAACATTCGTTTCACAGGCTTCTGCCATGACGCAGGCTTAGCTTTTTGAAGCCTTACCTGCAAGAGTGTTGGTAAAACAGCGAGAAGTTCAATTGGTTGGATATTTCGGCACCGAAATTCCCTAGTCTCATAACGTCTTATGTTCTCCCAAGATAGGCACGAAATCTATGTGACCTTCGCGTTGTGGCTTAAAGATGAGTCATGATTAATTATTGGCGAGCTTTCAGGGATCCTTTCCAAGGAACCTGTGCATGGTGACGACAGAGAGATGTGCCATCACTGGGTGTTGATATTGCTTTAATTGATCGATAAAAGATGCAGCCTGTGTCCATCGAAGTTTTGCGAAGGAAATCCCTTTGTTGCGCCAACTCGCCAGATTACTTTCGAATGACAAAGTCCCTAATACCTGCGCCTGGCTCTGGGAACTATTGACCTTGGAAGTTAGGAGCAAGAATCAGCAATGTGTGGAGCATTGGCTTATTCAACGTCTTAAGCATAAAGGCAAAATCACATCTCCAAGATGACATCGGCCAGCTTTCAGCAGATGTGACGCATCTCAGGGAATGTCCCGACTGCACTTATGCTGCCTATATGGCCAACCGTCAATATTTCCAGCAAAAGCTCGCGAAGCGGAAATGTTGTCTCCGCCCTCGGCCCAACTTGCACCACTCACCGATGTCTACCCTCGCACGCGAGACTTCAAATCAGCCATAGACAACGGGTACGCGGCGCTCAGCGACGAAAGCATCGACAACTCATACCTATCGTTCAGTGGTGTTACACCACAACTTTTCGAATCCATCGAGAGCCGCCGCGATGATACCCTTAACTCTAGTCATGTGTTCACTCCAAAAATTCAGAATCCGTCTACACCAAGTCCAAGCCCTAGTTCTCAACAGGAGACTATAGGAGTCGTGATCCCATCTCCGTCGCGGCAGCTTAAAAAACAGATTGAGCAATTGGAATGGGTGAAACCGCCTCCTTTTACGCCTGAAAAAACAGCGCTCTCGACTGAGTATTACCCCATAGATGCACACGAAAAGCACGCACTTAAAGGAGCTTACCCCAGCGCACGCAAGATCAAGCGTTCTGAGATGAGCCAAACAAGGCCGCTTCACGTATTTCGCTGATATCGAGACTCTCACAGTGAAAGTACCGTCACCTAGTTCGCTCTGTGGGCGAATCAAGCTGCTCTCACAGAGCAGCTAGAGGACGCGCGCGCTGTGCCTGATAAACTTCAGCAATTGTATGCTTGATGTTAACCTTGAAGCAGACCGTGGGATGACTGCAGCGCACCTGGCTGCAGAGCTCCAGACTGACGAGAGTATTATGATGAAGCTCTCAGAGCAGAAAGATGATACTATTGCTACTAGCTAGAGAGCGAGAACGAAGCTGTCTACGAGAAGCCCTACTAGCTAGCCCTACGGGAAAACGTAGGCCCGGCTGGAGCCTCAGGCAGACCTGCAACATATTACTATGTTAGGGATACTCCTCCCTCATATTAATGTCAACGCCGGTCAGCTGAAACAAGTGGGTACGATCCTTTATGCCTTAGTTGATGGAGTGGTTAGAGCGGAATCAGAACTCTCAAACAACATGATCCTTGGATTCAGTGGGGGCATACAGTTCCACCAGCGGTACTACACCCGTGTTGGTGAGAAGATCGGGCTGATGAAACAATATGGTATGGACTGGACACTGACCAATGCTGCAAATTGCATGGCAGTAGAGTATGCAGAGAGTCTAGGCCTACGGGAGCTGGCATCCTACATTGACAAGTAGCCTGATGGCATATACAGCCGCCGGCCGTCATGAGCATGTATGATCTGCTTTGGTAGATACTTTGAGTAACAGAAATACTAAGTGTTGTCCTATCTATCACATTATGAAGTAAGTCAAGCCAGTTAACCAAGTTGGCCAACATGAACAAGTATCACTGCCCTGATTCCGCGTGTATCTCCATGCTAAGAAATGGCAAAACCAAATCACAAAAGAACAAAGATTCAACTGGGGAACCATCCAAGCAAGTTGCTAAATTTGGTGAGTTGTGACCAGGGCGCTAATCGTCAGATGTACCACATTCCGAAAGGCAGTCGGTTTGAGGTACCATGTATGGGCAGAAGACATGGATCAACAGGACGGTCCTTCGGCTTGGGCTTAGTCATCTTGACCTCCAGACCACTCTGAGGACCAGCACTAGATGGGACATCCTCATGGCAGCGTGCTCGATTCAAAATGAGATGGGCATAGTAGGCAGCCGGGACTATGGTGGTAATATATTAGCAAAATCAATGTCATGCAAGCAGGAGAAGCAAGCAACTTACAAAGAGACACTGACTTTAAAAGCGCATATACTGGTAGCAATGGTCATAGATCATATTCTTAAGCTCTTGGGCCTTATGCTTTATCTCATCAAGAATAACATGATAATGCACAGGACGTGAAGTGCCCTGGAGCGCAATGTGCAAGTAGAGAAGGAAGTCCCAGTCATGAGGGCTAGTAACATCTCAAGTGATCAAGGTGCCAGGAAGAGGGTTGCCATTGTAATCTGCAGAGTTACGGTCTCCAGGGTGTGGGAAGGCACGCAGGTGATGACATTTATTTGCTATGACAACAGTGAACTTTCCCTTGAAGTAATCATTGCTCAGCTTCATCAAGATTTTCTTTATATCAAAGACCTCTTCCTTAAGGACCTTCTCAGACTCTCCAGTGGACACTCCATCTCAGAAGTAGTAGACATAGTCCAGATCCCTGCTCTCTCCGACAGTGGCCATCCATTCGCGAACTAAGGGAGTCAAAATACACTCAATATTAGAAGTGGCAATGATCTCAAGGCGGTCTCCATTAGTCTCGCAGGATCCCCAGTAGCGACCACTGAAAGTGTCCATGCAAACCGACATTGCCGCTGTGGAAGGCGCCCAGACACCCAGAGGGGAGTGAGAGCGAGGACGTAAAGTCGCTTCAGTAACTTTGGGCACAGCCTGAGCAGTAGTACCACCAAGCTTGGCATTGACCTTCATCAAGACATTGGAGGCGTACTGAGGGTTAAGCTTGACACAGTGACCGGACTGCAAGACTTAAGATGGCACACCCCAGCGGCAGTCGCAGGACTTCTTAATCTAAGTATAGGTAAAGGAGTTCTTGTCCGGAACAATAATGATAAGAAGCTGGGGGTCTTCCTGGAACTTTTGACCAGTTATATTATAGAGACGCTTCATAACTTCACCAATGTCCTCCTTAAGTTCAATAATATAGGGCATTTTTTTTAATCATACCGCCATGACCAGCATAAGTCTTCATAAGCAAGTCACAGAATTGCTAAACCTGTGTTTAGTTGATAGCGTTACGCTTTCCTGGGAAGAAGCCGACGCCCCACGCTTCTAATGGTCTCTTGTTGGCTGATAGAATTTCTTGCCACAAAGATCCCAATGGCCGTTGGTGCCAGGAGAGAGGCACTGGTTTCCACCAAACTGAATGTCGGGGCTAGGCAAGAGACGGGCCTTGGTGCGAATCATATCATCTTTGATGGCAAGGCCGAAAGTGTTGAGAACAGGGTCTTTTGCGTGGTTGAGTATAGCCTTTAACTTATAAATGGAATTGAGATGATCCGCAGGACGTGATGCAGCATACTTGATCATTACTGAAGTCTGATACTCATTCAACTTCCATGGGTAACGGTGGAGTCTGTGGATCGTCAACACTTCCATTAGGTAGACAACGCCTTTCTTCGTCATCTCAACCATAGGAAGCTCCCAGTAGTTCAAGGTCAGGTTGTACTTCTTCTTAAAGTACGCCTCCACACTCATCTTCTCGGTTTTTCCAGTGGCTTTATCCTTAATCTTGATCATATATTGTCGAGCGTTGGCATGGAGCAATCCCTTGACAGTGAAATCAACACCAGTGCAAGGGCAGCCTCTGTAATGCGGCTGGACCCCGAGCTTTTGAAGGCGACGATGGACCTTATAAAAGCTAGTTGACTTAGTAACACCACCATAGCCGTCACTGATAGGCTTGAGAACATGCATCAGATGCTGATGGTCCCGACAATCAAGCACCACCATGGCGGCGCCCATGAAAGAGGTCCGCGCCCAGAAGCAGGAGTTGGACACATCGACATTGACAATGAGACCGCGGCCCTAATGCAACGATTAGTCAAGGTCTTGATTAGCTCAACAGAGAGGCTGGCTTACCAGTGCAGGACGGATCGCCTGGTAGACACCCTTGAAGGCCAAGACGCCGTTTCCGAGATCCTGGTTATCACCTTTCTCATCGAAGAAGGAGCGACGAAGGGCCAGGAATTTGCCGCTAGGATGCTCGCGAAGGACATGGTCCAGGAAGTCTGTGGCTATTAGTCATTAAACACATTGCAGCTCAGACAAATGGTGTACTTACTCATAGCCTCAAGGACCGCCTCTGACATAGAGGTGCGTCCAGTAAGCCAGGCGTTGAGAACAGCCAGGTTGACAGTCTTCCGGCGAACAGTCAGATGGAAGGTGTTGCTGGTTCTACCAGCAGGGCGACCCTGTTCTTGATTGAGATCGACAACCATGTTCAAACTGTTAGAGTAGTTGTTCATAGACCTGTGTATGGCTAATTAGTTGTTACTCAGGGTACAGGTTGGTGTTGATACATACCAGGCAAGCTTCTGACCATCAAAGATGATCTGCTTCAAGGCGGCCTTGCGAGCATTGGAATTCCAGACCTTCTTAATGATGATATTCTTTTCAACACCATTTCTGATTTGCACCTTTGCCTTTATTAGCAAGGTGCAGCTCCAGTGATTATCTTGTTCATTTGATTCAGAGGCAGGAAATGCTTACATCGTATTGGTAGACGTTGCAGGTGGGGAATTTGGTGATGGGATAGGCATTCATAAGAACTTCTATCTCCTTGCCAGTCTGCCTGTGGTTTGGGCGAGTAACTGTCTTAACTGAAATAGTGTACTTGGCAACATCATCAGTAGTATCAACATGAAGATGGCGAAGGCCGCCTGTAAGTTTGTTCTGGTGCTTGTAGTCCTCCATAATGAAGATGGTAATGGAATGAAATAACAGTTGTAGTTAAAGAAGCAGATGAAATAGAGCAGTGAGCCAAGATAAGAAAAGCTTGGGATGTCTATGTTGGTATGAGATGGAAAGGGAAAGCAGAGCAGGGGGGGGGGAGGGCGGGGAAGGGGGTTTATATAACTTTGCTGTCGCCATGAGAGGGAACTAGAATAGGATAGGGTCTTTGAATGTAAGACAGAAAAATGACTTAAAGATTGAATATCAGATTCCTACATCAATAGGAAGCCTGTAGCCGGTGAATTGATGTAATGGATGCATTGGTCATTTGATGGATAATTAGTGTGAATGGGCAGGCCGCAGGGCTTGAAGTGGGCAGTGAAGGAAGACTATATAAGGAACATCAATTGTAGCAGGTTCTAGTCAATAACAAACAATAGGCTAGTGAAGGAGACAGGGGAAATACAGTATTGAAGAACAGCATCAATAGTAATATCGTCAACCTCCTGTGAACAATAGAATTATTCTGAAGAATATGACCCAGCGGCAACACAAATGCCATTCGTAGAGGGAATTATTTTTCTCCCCCTTTCTTCTTTTCCTTTTTCTGCAACTTCTCGGCTTCTGATTGGTCGAATCAGAATTCCAGGAGATTCCGTAAATCCTTTACCAAATCTGGCTGACAGACCCCCCCAGGCTCGGGATGCTCACGAGCCTGCCATCGCTATTGAAGCTATCCAAATCACTTGAAATTACCGAATCGGGAAGGTGGTAGAGACGTCGGGCGATCAATTCATCTCATCGAGGTCAACTAAACCAATCTGCCGCATGAAATTATAGTGCTTTTGGCACGGAAGAATCTTGGTGAGCCCGTCAGCTGGCATATCGGCCGTTTTGACCCATTTGACTGATATACGGCCTGCTTGAACCTCTTGCCGCAACCGATTCTGGTGGATATCGACATGGCGAAGCTTCGTGTTCAACCTGGGCTCATCGCTCGTGAGTATATTGACCGTTTGGACGTTGTCACACAGTATGGCGATCTCATGCTCTGGATCGAATCCAATTGAACGGAATAGCCTCTGCCACCATTGTATGTTCTTCGCGGAGGAGGAGAGGGCTAGTAGCTCGGCTTCCGTAGTAGAAGTAGTGACCGTTTTCTGCTTACCAGCCCGCCAATTGTTTGCTCCACCATATAATAGGCAGATGAAGCCTTCCGAGCTCTTGCGATCTGGATGATCACCATACGCAGCATCGCTTGCTGGCGTGAAGCACTGGCCTAACGGCCCAGTATGGTGTACGGAGAATCGCATGGCCCAATTGCGCGTCTTCTGCAAGAATTGTATGCAGCGATTCACTTCCTGGAGGTGCTTCGGGCCAGGGTTCTGTTGGAATACGGCGAGATTCCATAACGGCTTCGCTACATCGGGCCTAGTGATGACCGCCAGATAGGCCACTGAGCCCGTCTTCTGCTGGTAATGGTTGATAAACGCGAAGCTGGCCTTCCATCGTATGGCGGCAAATTTTCGCCTGACGCCGGTGTCGCCGGCAGCTTGCGTTCGAAGATGAAACCGGTCCACGATCTTATCGATATACGCCGTTTTGTTGAGCCATATCGTTCAATTCGCGCGGTCTCGCCGGATCTGTATGCCTAAAAAAGTAGTAGCATCTCCCAAATCACGGAAATCGTAGCGTGCACGTAGCTTGGAGATGATCTGATTCGCATGAGGCTTCTCCTCTGGGCGATATAAGAATAAGATATCGTCGATAAACACCATAATGATCATTCGATCGTCCGTGAAGAGGCACTATCTTCGTTGATTGCCCGGAAGCCCAATGCTTCGAGTGTTGCCGTCAATTCCTTCTGCCATAACCTCGGCGATCTACGTAGGCCGTACAAAGCTCTGTTCAACAGCCAAACGTAACCAGGTTCTGCGTAGCCCTCCGCCATATGTGTATACACTTCTTCATCCAGGAGGCTATTCACGAACGCGTTCAATTGCCATAAGTGTCCGAAAGGTCTTCGCTGCAAGGGTAGTCGCTGCCGTATCTTCGCGATTCAGAACCTGTAAATCGCCTCGAACACACATGCGTCCTTTGGCCTTCAAAAGGTAGCCTTCTTCATCAAACTTATATGTAAAAACCCACTTGATTGGGATGACGTGCTTCCCTCTGGGATATCTGACCTTTTTCCACGTATTCCGACTCAGCAATGAGTTGTATTCGAGGTCTGCCGCCGCGTAGAAGAGCTCTTCCAAGGGATGCTTCGCGATATCTTTGTAACTATTCGGCGGCGGCGGTAGATCGCGACGGTGCAAACGCGGCTGGAGCTTCCTTTCCAGCAAGGCCTGCGAGAAGGCGCTGAAAAAATGGTATTCCTGGCGAACCTTCTCCTCCTCGTCGTCTTGCGTTTGGATGCTGTAAGAATCGTGTATCAATTTAGGCGGCTTCCGCTGCCGTTTCTCATGTATGATGTTGTCTGTAGAGAAGTCCAGTCTAATCTCCTTGGAAGGCCTCGTTGGCTCATGGATTTCATGAGATTCTTCAGTTTCTGGGGGGTCCTCGAGGTTGGCGAGTAGTTACGCGCTGGAAGAATCGACGTCATATTCTTCCGTATCACTGCTCCGGTAGGCGTTTGAGCTCTCTGATTGGCTGGAATCGGTTCTGGACTGTCACTCCAAGCTCCAGGCACTCGCTGGGAGCTCTCCCTAGTAGGGGTTCGTTCGGCATGTCGTTCTGCGAGAGGTGACGGCGATGGATCCGGGGTCAAAAGTTGACGTTCGGTAGGTTCTGCCGCAGATGCTGATTGGTTGTCACCCCCCGAGATTCAGCCTCGTCAACCTCACCTCTTCCATTCGCAGGGACAACGCCCATTCTGCTGCTTGGAATCACCTCATCATCGTCAATATTAGGAGGCTGAATCTCTATTTCAGGGATATAAGGCAAGTCGTGTGCGGCGACGATCTCAGGCATGTTGACCCGCAAAATTAGCTTGTGATATGGCTGATCTGGATCGTATGTCTCATTCTCCAGGAATTCCACGTCTCGTTCAATCGTGACGGAATTGGTCATCGGATTCCATATACGCCAGATGTTTGACGCCGTGTAACCAACGAGATAGCCTACCCAGGCTCGCGGCGCCATTTTCTCAGTTTTTGGAAGCTCATCGTGCCGCACAAACGCTCGACATCCGTACACCCGCAGGTTCGATAGATCAGGCTTCTTGCCATACAATTTCTCATACGAAGTCGTCCAGGTTGGTGTATCGTCGTCGTCGGTGGGCTCGTCGCCATGGGCTCGTTGAATTCTACGGTCTAATTCTCTCGCCGGATTTCTGTCACGCCGGGGACGTCGATTCTTGAGATAAACAGCTGCTTGGATAGCATAATGCCATAGCTTCTCTGGTAAGCGGGACCCAATAAGCATTGATCTAGCCATGATGACCAGATTCTCCCCTGCTGATTCTATACGCCCATTCTGTTCAGCTAGGCCTCGCACGGAGTGTGTGATCTCGAGGCCTTCGTTTGTGCCCTTTTCCGGATACCATTCACTGAGCGTTTGTTCCTGATCTGAATGGAATGTTTTGGCACTATTCCAAACTGACGCTTCACCCATGCGGTATAGATGTCCAGGTACTTCCTCAGATCGGCTTTTGTATGCGTCATGTAGGCTGTATGCCACCCAGTTGCATCGTCGAGGAAGTGGATGATCCATTTGTCGCCATTATCGGCCTCGCTCATCTGAATCAGATCAAAATGGACACAGTCGAACGGCTTGGCGGCTCGCTCCGGCGGCCTACGCGATATCTTCTTCGTAGCTTTGGCCAGCAAACACACTTCGCATGCCTGATTGGGGCAGGGGATGACCTCTACCCCTTCCGCAACATCTCCGAGACGGGAAATAGCTTCTTTGTTGACGTGAGCCATACTTTCGTGCCATACCTCCGTCGTTGCTTTGTTGCTGATCGGGAGCATCGACTTAGGAAGCCGTACAGCGAACGCAGCTCTCGTTTCCTCCGGAATTAGATTATATTCGATGACATCTTGATTGAATCGTTGGTGAGTGCGTAGAATTGGATTCCCGTGAATATCTTCATTCATCTGCAGCCACTGATTCAGGAAGTATCCCTTGCTTCGTGCAACCTGCATGGAGACGATATTGGTGTGAAAACTCGGCACGTACGCAACCTGAGTCACTTCCAGTACGTGTTTGCTGCCATTGGGGCTCTCGCCGTGTACGTCGGCTGTTCCATACCCTATAATCCGTGCCTGCGTGTTCCCAAAGCAGAAACACGCCGGTGACAGGGTAGTAATCGTGCAAACGCTGGCGATCGTTGCAGACATGTACGTCAGATCCAGTATCGGCAATCCAGCTATCTCGGAGCTCGTATGCTTCAGGCCCGTCGTTTGCCGCTGCCAGGGATGTCCTAATTCCCGTTTGTTCAGTCTATTTGGGCGTTAAAATCAACCTTATAGACGCTCATTGCCGTCCGTTGAACCTGACGATCTGGCTGACTAGTTGGATTTGACCGACTTCCCGTTCCCGAGCCAGGTGACGTTGCAGAGGCCGCTCCCTGATTGGACGACGTGCCTCGCTTAGCTCGCTCGATAGCCCGTTCGATGGCCGCACGCACCCTTTCCCGCGTCTGTTTTATATGCTCGAATTTCTCTTCTATCTTAGGGTCCGGCTTCCAGCCACATGATCGCTTGCTGGGAATAAGATAGGGACAATCGTCGAACGGGTGTGATTCCCCGCAGACACAAGTACGTGGCCTGGTGCCCTGTGCCTGTCCAGAAAGACGAGTGCAGGAGCGATTAGGCTGATCTGACTGTCCCTGCAAAGTTGCAAATGCTGATTTGAACGCTTATCTCGCAGCGATCTCTTCTCCCATTTCTTCCGGAAGGCGTTGATCTCGTCGTACACGTCCAGGTCGTTATCTTCTTCCAGCTTCTCCTGCCGAATCTCGGCATAGACGGGCAAGATCGGCTCGATGGCATCAAGAAACACGGACGTAGCGGAATAGCCGGTATATTGAGTCAATTCAAGCTCTTCGCATTCACCCGAACTACTCCCATGTTCTGATTAGCTGGCTTCGTGCTCAGGTCATGGAATCGATTCTTGAGATTCGCGATACGGGCTGATTTGGATGGCTTGAGCTTCTTCTTGAGCTTGACAAGCTTCTGCCGGTAAGATAGCTCATCTAGCTCCATTATATGACGATGTTTGATGCTGACAGACGACTGGATGGCGTCCCAAAGGTTGATTAGACCGGCCCGCTCCCTTTCGTACTTTCTCATCGCTTCGTCATGCCGTTTGAGCCGCGGATTCCATGCGAACTGCTACTCGGCAGTCATATCTTCGAATTCTACCTCCGGGTCGGGCCGCTGAGGCTCTTCGGGCTCGTCGGTCTCATTTGTCTCATCGTTCGGATCAATATATTGCCATATCTTTCGCGCCTGTGCCGATTGCTTGATGAAGGCAAGCCACGTCCACCAATCATCTGCTTTATCCAGAATGATCGGGACCTTCAGCGTGGTCATGGATGCCGGGGGAACTGCAACCGCTTGGAATTCTGACATGGTGCCGTGGGGTGCTAGAGATTCCCGTTGCGAATAGCTTCACCTTTATCCCGTTCCGGAAGCTCAATCTAGGGGTCTACGGCTTACCGATATCTTCTGCCGCAGCCTTGACGCAATATCGCTTCAATATAGGGCTTCCAAAAGCTTCGTTTCTCTTGGAAATCCGATAGCTGACGAGTATGACCGGGCTCATAACTGTGATGCGAATGATAGCATATTCTGGTTGACAATATCTAACCTGGATGCGCGCCCTTAGTCATGTGACCCCTACGGTCGGGCTACCCTCAGTGACTTCACTACAGCAATGGGTTTCATATCCCCTAATGTCAGAGGCGCTGCCTTGGGCCAGGTTCAGATAGCATCGGATCACCTTATTCCCTTCTAGCTAGTCAAACTGTAAGCAGGCTGGAGGAGATCTGCTTAAGGGCGAGCAAGAGGTCGTTGTCTACGCTGCGACATACTACTATGACTACGACATTTCAGGATGGTATAGGTTCGCTAAGTAAGTCATATGTATTGCAACGATCAGAATAAAGTGCTTGGTCTTCACTAAGCTATTTAGATTCTCTTATTTCTACTCGATGCATTCAGAATCCAGAGATTCTATATTCCAAGCAAGGGAACAGCTTGGAGAGGTTCGTCCTAAGTTGCGCTAAGCCTAAAACAGATATCAAGGAACAACACAGCCATGCACAGTCAATTATTCGCAATCATCAAAGGCTTTGACGCTTTGTAAACAATATTTGTATGGATCTTTGATTATTAACTGGACAATGATTAATGAGCTTTGTGTCAGCATGATGCCAGTGATTGGTCTGTTGTGTTCAGTCACTATGACAGCACAGGGGCTTCTGATTGAGATGTTGTTTCACTTTCTATTCAACTCATTATCTTTTGCTTTCCTCAATGACCTGCAAGTGAGAGATCAATGAGCCTTGAATGCGTTCAATAGCAACAAGGAGACTTCACTTAGTCGTAGCGTTGCCAGTGTGTTCTCCACCAATAGCTTAAATACTGTGGAATCTTCGCCCTTCGCTCATGGCTTCATCTAACAGTTAGAAAGCTTCAATTTCTCACATTGATACTTCGTTTTCCAGCAGCCTCACCAGGTTATGAGCTTGCTGCTTCTCATATTATATTTGCTTTACCCTCTTTTCTCACAAAGTCATTTGTCGTATCCTTTTTGAGCAGTTTTAACACTATTTCGCATGGTTTTACATCATTTTACATCTACACCAACACAGACGAAATAAACCCTCTTCCCCTGCCAGCAGCATTCGAAGAATTACAAGAAGAAAAAATCTGAAATACAGATCGAGAGACAAATCGAGATACAAGCCGGAACACAAATCAGGAACAAAATCAAACCCAGGATCACGCTGCAAAGATGACGGACACCACACAGGCAGCAAAGCTTGAGGACGATTTGATGACCATCACACTTGCCAACTTCAAATTGATGATTCATATGAAACGGTCCAATTTCGCAACAATTCCTCAGTATGTCAGTGCTTTTAGGGAACAAGTCGGTGCTTGCGAGCGTCTGAATACACCAGTTACGCCATATATTGCTACCATTTTGATGATGGAAGAACTCGCAAAAGAACTCCCATCTTGGTGCAATGCTGTGGAAAGCACCTTCACAAACGAATCTCCAAAGACCTTGACAAAATCCAAATTCCATGAGTATTGCATGCTTGCGATACATCAGACGATAGGAAGAAAGATGGTTCCGCCACCGGGAAAGAGCCTTGCGGAATATCTCCATGAATGGAGACAGCAAGACACGCGGGATTCAGAAGGGAGCTGTGCCTTTTGTCACCTTCCTGGTCACATTCCGACAACATGCTACTTTTTAATGGATGCATAGCTTCGCCCTGTGCCATCATGGAACATTGTGCATATGATGCAGCATTTAAGGAGGAGTTATGGTTATGAAAATTACTACATGGCTTGTATCTACAGATGACTGGATTCCCATCTATACTAAAGTAATCATACATTTAATATTGTTCACAGTGGGCCGGTCCGACCGGATTGATAATGAGGAGAATAAAGAGATAGATTAATTAGTTCGCAAGAGATTGCCCTATCAGATTAGGAAGTCGGTAAAGATTCATGTATCTTAGAGCAAACTGATCATGATGATCGGATGGATGGAGATGCCCGATGGCAGCGTCCAGACAGCACGCCCCAGATGCTCCGACATGAGAAGCATGATCGTCATGGAGACATCGGTGGAGCAGCGCTCTTGCTCTTAGGCCAAGTCTGGCAAGCTAACGTACATCTATGCGAACAAAACAAAGTGTAGGACTAATTTAGTTATCAGATGCTGCAACCCTGCAGCATCATTCCAGCCCTATGGTCAACCCCAGACAGATTCATCTCCTCTTGTGCATGCGGATGTCCTAGTATGCACTTTACATACTGCTGGTAAGACAGCTAAACGTGATAATGTGCAGCCCCATGCCATCTTGGTTGATCAGGCTGCTCATGCCACCGAGCCTGAGCTGTGGCCTGTATTAGCCTTCTTCAACCCTAATGCATTTATGCTCATCGGTGATCACCATCAGCTTTGACCTCTGCTGCTCTCGTCCCATAAGCAGAACCCTCTTGCGCAGCAGCTCCAGATGTCACTATTCTCTCAGCTCCACCGGAATGGTCTGCATGCTGTCATGCTCACGGAGCGGCACTGAATGCATGAGGGTGAGCTGCAGACAAGTCGCGCCACTGCTGATCAGACCCAGGAGCTTGCCCGCCAGATCGACCTGTTCAATCGTCGCACGTTTCGTCACTGGGCCCAAATGTTATTCATCAATCTGAAGGACAGCATGGACCACCGCGACGCCCAGCAATGTTCTTATCTAAATGCGGGCCATCACAGTGTCGCTGCGGCGCCTAGGATTCGCCTGCTTTCCCAACAAGTTACTGGCCCGACTGGTATCACTATTCTCGCCACCATACCGAGCCCAGCTGAAGGAATACCAGGCACTCTTTGCCATTCTGTAATAACAGCACCCCGGCCTGCAACTACATCTCGTACAGCTCAAGACGATCGACTCCTTTCAGAGTGGGTAATCGAATCTTGCCATACTCAACCTCATCATTGTTTCCTCCCTGGGTTTTATGCGGGAGGGCAATCGCCTGAATGTCAGTCTTGGTCAGGCGAAACATGCACTCTACATCATTAGTAACTACAAAGCTATGGATTGACCCGGAAACTGCTCCATCGCCATCGCCCCCAGGATATCATTGAGCCCATCATCATCATCATCATCATCATCATCATCATCATCATCATCATCATCATCATCATCATCATCATCATCATCATCATCATCATCATCATCATCATCATCATCATCATCATCATCATCATCATCATCATCATCATCATCATCATCATCATCATCATCATCATCATCATCATCATCATCATCATCATCATCATCATCATCTGCAAATACATCCAAAATGAATGGTAAGTAGTAAATTATCAGTGGCTAATGTTCCAATGAAGAAATTAGGATTGATTCGACCGAAAGTCTGCAAGAAACGCTGGTCCTGACTGCCCAGATGCCTACGCGCCCCCACCCCCTTTGCGAAGGCAGAACAGTTGGCAAAGGCGCAGGCTACCCAGGCACAGAATGTAGAGTAGGATCGTATGAAGAAGGAAGCTGAGGAAGTAACAAAGGAAAGAGACGCAGTTGAGGCAGGAGGCAGAGGCTGCTCAGATAAAGTTAAGTAGGTCAAACTTTTCCCAGCGTACGCCTCTATTGTAATACCATGCTCATTCAGTTTCTATTCCACTTCCGCAGCATCCGCAAGCACCTCCACAGATGATCACTGAAGCTCCTACCCCTGCCGTTGTCCTGCAGCCAGGGGCCTCTGCCGCCGCGCTCAGCAAAGCTATGCTATGTCTTGATTAGCAGTCTTGATGACCTTCTCTTTCTCCTTGAATAGGTACTGTCGGCGGCGCTGGTGTTCAGGATCTTCCGCCATTATTTCTATGCAGCGTCCACGGCTGGGTCTCCTTGGATGGGAACAGACCATTTTCATTGAAGATGTGTAGTTCATTCTTAATGACTGTAATCAGTTCTTCATGGCATTTGGAGAACAGTTTCGTATGTACGCTCTGACAGATTGAGTTAATAAATTGGGAACTCGCTATTTTATAGTAGCCATGAGTCTTCTGAGCGCTATTAGCATGATACTCAAACTCAGCAGGGTTTGTAAAACTCACCGCCATCATCTTGAGTTCCTGAATAAATCTGTCAGGCCCGAGCTCTGTAGCAGTGAGTTTCTTAATCTCAGTGTTGCGGCGTGGGTCTCCCTGTGGGATTTTGCCTTGAAGATTGAGAAAGCAGTGCGACCTTGCTTCGTGTCGATGAGCTTTCAGATACTTTTCAGCATTTTCCGTGGCCTGTTCAAGGGCCTGGATTGCCATGGTGAAAGGCTTGTTATGCTCAATATTGTACTTCTCTTGTGCGTGTCCTAAGTGCTCCTTGTGAAGTGTTTGGAGGTAGTTGCCAGTGATGCGTTCAAGCTCTTGGTAGAGACTGGTCTGGTAGTCTGGTGTGAAGACTTCTTTGAGTTGTTTCATTAATAAGTCCCTCAGTAGCTGGTAAGTTGCCTTCAAGAATTCTTGCATTGGTTCGTCCCAGTGCTCAACGCTCATCTGGTTCATGAAGTCCACGGCTTTGGGGTCTGTCGGATCAGGAATACCAGCACGATAAGAGTCCTCATTAATTTCTCTGATTTCTTCCCAAGTGAACATTCGTGCAGGACGGTCAAACTGATTAAAGTGTTCTATATAATAACCTGACGGCTTCAGGGTTGAGGGCTGTTCTGGCTTTGGCTCCGCTAGAGTTAGAGTAGGTCGATCGCATGGGGTCTTGCGTTTCCTATTCATGGTAACGCTCACAAATCGCTGTACTGCGATTATTTCACAGTCAGAGTCAGCATCCTGACGCGCAATGGGAATGGCCATCTTGTCTGAATGGGCAAGTAGCTGGACGGTCGGCCTGGTTTTCAACAGAGCTCTTTTAAAGTCCTTTGCAATGTTGCCCCATATCTTTTGGAGAGGATACTGAGCTGAGCCGCCGTTGATATGGGCACGGATCTGGTCTTTGAGATGGTTCAATTTGCCGCAAAGGATGAACGGGGCGTTTGCCGAGGGGGGTTCGGGTAGTGTCTGTAACTCTGCCTCGATTCGCGCGGCTTTCTCGTTAATTTGTTCGATAATCCTTGGAAGACAGCCCTGGATCTGCTCCAGAAGAAGACCTGAAAGCGCTGCTTGTAGGTTTCTGGTGCCAAATCTGTCCTGGTAGGCAGATAGTTCTGTTGCCCAGGGACCGTTTGCAAAGAAGACAGCCTCCTCTTCTCTCGCGCGAGAATGCTCGACGGCCGGGTTAGGATTGTTGCGGACGACGTAGTAGCCATGGCCAAGTCTAAATTTCTCTCCTTCCAGAATCTCGACCCACTGGGCATACGACTCGCCTGTCTGGATACAGTCAGGTTTTGTAAGGACACTGAGAGTTCTTTCTTTGGCGCCAGGGATATCCCGCATGATATGTGCAGCTCTGGAGTTCATCACATACTTGGTCATCGGAAGTGCCAGCAGGATGATGCAATTTTCTTTCGAGATGTACTCTTTCACGAGGTTCTCCACCAGTGAAACCAGGTACTGCTCATAGTCGTGTTCCGCCTGGCTGATGACACCAGGTAGATCATAGAAGGAGAGATTAGGGAAGTTAGGTGCTGAGATGTCCAACCGAACCACATTTGGGGAGAACTTCACTTGGTAATAAGACTCATCAGTGTTAGCGTTATTGCCGGGTTGGTAGTCAGTAGACGGCCTTCCTGGGTTCAGAATGGCAAGCTGTGCCCACTTAATGCCCTCTTGTACACTATCTTTATCTTTGACATTAGTAAAGTACTCATCTTCCTGGTCTTGTTCGATCTATGGTCCCAGAGGCTGCGACTTTTTGGGAAGTTTAGTAACCTTCAGAGAGCCGTCAAAGATGTATTTCCGCGATAGAAAGATATGACAGTTCTAGTCTTGTCTGGGCTCACTCTCTGTCAGGTTTATCTCCATGGGACAGGGAGTGCATGTTCCAGCACTGCGAGGCAGCTTTATCTCACTGATACCTTTGACCAAAGACCTTTTCCCTGTGCTCCGATCCCCTATGACGCATATTTTGGGGAGAGCAATCTGGCTGTCCTCGATTCCTATGTGACGGAGATCTTGAATCTTTTTGACAAGGGACTTCATATCGCGAGTAATGGTATTTGTTGAGTTGGTTTCTGCTGAGTGTAACCCGGACATAACTTCTAGCATGCTTGCTCCTGTGGCTGCAGTAGGTTAGAGTGGAAAGATGCAATAGAGCTTACTTACTCACCTGTTCCTGTGGTGGGTTCTAATATGATGATATCAGTAACTTAGGAGGAGAAATGCTGTTGTTGAATGATGTTGTAGAGCATGAAGGAGAGGTGAAGAGGTAGGTGAGAAAGAAGAAGAACTGGGTATTATGTTCACTTTGATGGACAAAATACGCAAGTCTGCAGAATATGAAAGAGATGTTATGAATAACTGGGAGTAAGTAATGCTTGAGGTGGCAGTTGAGGCTAGTGAAGTATTAAGTGAATGGAAAGTGAAGTATTAAGTGAACAGAAGATGAAAGTTTAGTACTGCATATCCAGCATAGATGCCTTGATTTATATAGACAAAGTAAAGACCAAAGCGCATTAGAAGACCTGACAGCTATGTCTGTATAAAAGTTGTTAGTTATTATTGTAGGTGTAGAATTGTCACTATCCAAATAAGTGTATACCGCACTGCCATATTTGGTGCGGCATATACAACTTTCTGTTGCCAGGGTGGAGAGACTAACAACTAGGTCTAACTGCAAACACCCCACATGTCAAGTTACAGAGATGAAGATAAAGTGATAGAGTGGAAGGATGATATAAACTTCACAGCGTTCATCGGTCTAATATTTTCTAGAGACCAAGGATGATGCTTCTGGGCTTTTGCTGGGCAATGACTTCAAGCACATATTTGACTGCGTAAAGACTAGATATCCTGCCATATTCGCTTATCCACAGTAGCGTACACGATATTACCCAAGCCTTCTTTTAAAAAGACATATTTTCAGGGGCGGAGGTGCTGATTCTTGTGATCTTGACTATGAAAGATCTCAAATCTGAGATTTACGAAAGCAGTCAAATGGCTGTCAGTCAAAGCTTCCCATGACCTGTGATCATGCTGGCGGACAGGGCTGAGCCATGGACGGCGTGGAGATTTGTCTTCTCACTTGAGCTGAACTGGCCCAACAGATGATGTAGCACATGACCTTGAGCTTTGCCTTGGGTTTAAGTGAGAATTGTTCCCATCCACAAACTTGAGCAACACGTTCCTGCCCTGAACTCAAAGCATATCTTACCCCTACTATCCTAATCACCATCCTCTAAAATCTAAAAACTACTATAACTCTAGTTTTTCTTAGTAGATATAATATTTTTATTTTATATATAGATAGATAGGATTATTCTCTATCTATAAATATAAAAATAACCCCCTATCTAGGCCTAGATCTAGTTAGATAAGCTTATCAGTTCTTAGAGACCTTAGGTCACATGCACCCAATGGTTTAACCTATATCCACCTGGATTGGGTGGGTTGGATGTGGATTCGTGGATTAGATAAGCCAGTCTACCCATTCCACGCTTTTCGTCCGTGCGCCCATAGGAAAAATTCCGGTGGACCACAGCTACCTGTCCCGCCATTCCAACCGTTCCTAGCTGCGCACAGAGTACTCTCACCCTTTTTCTATTATAGTTAGTATAGCCTCAAAATCATGATTTTGATGAGAAATCTACGATTCCCGTGAGCCTAAAGCCCGTGACGGATACTTGGATTCTGATGAGAGAAGTATACTACAAGGGCTCTAAACACGCGAAAGAACTGTGGAAAAGCTTTATTAACAGCGGCATTAATATAAGTAACTCTTTTGGAATGACCTCTGACTCTGCAGTCTGGACTAATAAGTGAAGTTGCCTGTGACTTGTCTCTGTTTGAAGACACCTCCAATTTGCAAGTTTAGGACCCAATTATTGTGTCTGAGATAGTGTCGCCTCTAAGAATAACAGCAGTAGTATTACAGAGATCCCGCCCCTGTCAGCTGGCATCTACGTGTGGCGGCCCATTCGAAAACGTGTTGCGCCCTGGCGGGAATCGCCGAATCGGACCGGGCAGAGGTGAATCAGGCGGTCCATACGGTCTGGAACATCTGGTGGCAGAAGTGGTGCTTGCATCTGCGTGGGGCAGTACACTTGGCACAGCTAATTGGCGGATTGGCCCTTGTCTGGCTCCCTCGTCTATCTCTCAATACTGCCTTTGGAAAGTAGTTCCGTTTCACAGCATGATCAAGAGACTATTATTTGGTCTGGAAATTGACATGGGCCCTTAATCACAGTAATCACAGTAGTTGAAAAAGTGGACACTTTCTCAGGATACAAAGAGAAGAAACTGTTCACAGGAAATTTGACGCAGTAGTCCCTGGAAGTGGATTACTGAATTATGCACATGAAATCTAGAGAGAGATAACAATATGTGTCGCAATGTATGACAATAGTTTTTATTTCCTTTCTTCATAATTCCCTAGCTCACTACTATAGTGTATAGAAATGACAATAAAAACAATTTGAACTGTAGAATCTACATAAGTATTCATTATTCCTACGCCCCCTTATCAACTTGGACCATCTTTAACTATTATGCTTTCACTGCAGGTATACAGCATCATCCATGCAGAGTGGCCTTCTCCAATCTAATTACATTGCTGTATAGCATGTGATTATTTAAATAGACAGTGGACAGTGGAGGAGCCTTCTATATTAACATAGCTCAGTGATATATATTGTGTAGAACAGATGATCACTCAGCGCCTGCCGCTTAAGAAGGGCTTCTGAGGTATATACAGAGATAAGGGTTACTTGCGGCAATTTCAGCAATCTAGATCACAAACCTCCCAGAAACCAAGAATATTTATATAAAGGTGTTAATGAATATAAGCACCCAGCCTTTTAAGGCACAGTCAGTATGAGGATGCAAGTTTTCTCACAGAGAACACTCCAAATGCAGACATGATGCATATATTTAAAGAAATATGATAGTAGCAATATTGATTACAACACAGTAAGGAAGAATAGCATAAGTGAAAAGGATAAAATATGAGCCTGGGTGCCATGCAATGGCTCTGTTTTGAGCTCTCTGTGGATATAGGCAACGATTCAGACTCAGTCTGCTAGATGCCTTAACGCGTCCAGTTCTCAGACAACTGGGGCAGTGGCTTCACCTGTTGTTCATAAGATATGATATGAGGCTCAGAAGTCACAGGGTATGAGTGACTGTTGTGCTAGTTTGCTTGTCTATCAGGTAGTCCAGAAACTGCATTAGAGGCCGGCGGTTTTCCAGCTGATCCTCCTGTAGCATTCACAGCACCTCTGGTCTCCCATGTCTTCTCAGCCTCCCGCTCGGAAATCGATCGGTACGGCTGGGGTGATGGTGGCCGAGCTGGGAGCTGCCCTGGCCGTACAAGTCAGGTGACATGCTCTTGGTAAAAGTCCTGCTCAGATCAATAATGGTTGCGTTACTGCATCAGCGCTCGAATCTCCTGCGCCTGTTTGAGCAGTGCCTCCTGTTGCTTCCGGATCTCATCCTGCTGGGCCGTGATCCTTTGCTCCATCTGCATCTCGTTCCTCTTCTGATTGCGGAACCTTCTCAAGGCATCGCTGTTTGCCTTTCACTTCTCCGCCTGGCTGGATGACCCGGACTTGAGATCCAAAATACAGGGGATCATCCTAGGCAGAAGAGGCACATTCTACTCATCTCCCGCCGGCCTATTGCCTGCAACCGACGGCAATCAATTGACCGGTTCTGCCGTTTCATATATCACGGGATTAGCGACTGACGGTGCAGACTGTGGGATAGGCAGCCCAGCAATAGCTGGTGATGATCGACCATACAGACTGTAGATGGAAACAGGAGTCGTGGGGCTTGTCTCTTGGGAGCTCGGAGTAGGGGTTGGATTCGCGCTCGTCCAATGACTGTGGAACTTTAGGGTTGAGTGAATGGAAACTGGAGCTGGGGCGATGGTTTTGCATGCATGCTTCGGGTTCACTGGAGCAATTCCCGGTGGTTCCAGATAGACTGACGACGGCGTCCTATAGATATTACGGCCTTGAGCGGTGCCCCCGTCCTCTGAGATATGTCCACAGCAATATCCTATCCTTTGACGATGCCAAGGATGTCGCCAGCTATTACAAACTTGAACCTAAACGATTGGAGCGAAACCTACATTATAGGCCGCCATACCAGCCAACTCAAAGCTAGTAAGGGAGCCCAATGTGCCCGCACAGCTATGGAACCTGAGCAATTCAGATCCATACACTGTTCAACCAGATGGATTAGCCTGGCAGGAAGCCCCCGCGCTATCCATGAAAATCCCAGCGGAGCAAGATATGGCTGAAACATATCCAAACCACGGCGCATTTGCTACACGTCGGAAGAGCCCTCCGGTAAGCAAATTACGCTGGAGTGAGAGCGAGACCACTCAGTGCCTGAGCCCCCAACTTGTACGGTATAATCTTGGACCCCATGAGTCATATGTGGCGCATGCTGTCCTTATCATTTGATTTCTCAGCTAATCCTGGTCAATAGGAGTTCCTACTATACAGTCATTCCCAGGAGATGGCTAATCACCACTAAATTAAACGCGGCAAGACTTCTGCTAATGATCATGCATGGGAATTTTGTTTTTTGAACACATTTCTGATCATGTTGAGACTTTACAATCTGGTGTCAAAGACACGGTGGCTTTGACAATTAGGGACGCCGAAGAGGTCCTTGCGTACTATAAGTCTGCTCTCACAAATTTTAAGTAGTTGAACTGTAAAGTGATATCCAGAGCCTTTATTAAGTATATTGAGCCGTGTAAACAGTCCAAGCACCCTTATAATAGTGGTGAACAAAAGAAGCCAGAATAATGGCTTCCCGTATTTCTCACAGGGAACCAGACCACTTAAAGGCAAAAGGTAAGTCATCTTGAGCTAGACTCGCTCAGCAACAGTCTTACCAATAATGACAGAATGACTTGCCCTCTTGATCCATATCTTGCGAAAACTTGGCAAACATGGCATAACTTCAGATAACTTGCAAGAAGTCGCGCGGGATTGTAAACGACACCCTTGATTAGCACATGACACGAATCGTTCATTCGTTCTTCTGTTGCCTCGAAGAGATGGGCGAGACGCGTATACTAGCGAGGTAATTGTAGATTAGGTATATAAGAATATGGAGGAGGTTCTTCAGGAGCTGAAGCTGTATTGGTGGCTTCATCAAAGGTAAAGTTGAGATATCGCTCTCCGTCAAGCTGGCTAACCACCTGGCGCGTATCTTCTTATAGCACTGGAATGAAATCGGGCCTGTAACGGTATGGCAATGTGGAGGCGTGAAATTGAGGAGATGGACGAGCTTTCGAAGGTAGACTAGGTCATCAAAAAGGAAAAACTGACGTGCGCCTGCAAAAATCGCCATACCAATGATCTCATTAATCTTTGAGGCATTAGCTCTTTGAAACAATATATCTTCTGACCTTTCTTAGTATTCTACATAGGTATAGCTTCAATATCTGCTCCTCCCTTCTTGAACTTCTTGCAATGATGGATCTTGAGGCAAGAAGAATTATCAGCCGGCTCCTTACCGCAATGCTTGCAGGTTAGACGTATATATCTAGAAAGTCAGGAGGCTTCTAAATCATTGATATCCATATAAAATTACCTTGCCATCAATGAGATCTTTATCAAAATTCTTTTCAACAAGATAATCGCGTGGACCATACTGTTCCAAGCCAGCGCCACCCATGTTGCGTACTTGCATTGACTACGAGGCTCTGGCAGAAAGTTTATTATGTGCTTTTGGTCATTTGTCAGGTAAAAACAGTAAAATATTTGTCATTTTGACATTTGTTTCAAAGATTTGAAATGACAGTACAAATACACCTCATCCCTGGACTCCCCTTCAAGTATCTTGATACCCCCTCGGTCACGGGCTCCCTTGTCATAGGAGAACTTCCATCCATATTCCTTGTAATAATCACCGAAAATTTGCACCAAGGCTAATTTTCATTTCATAATGCTTAGACCTTTCACCAAATCTTGTTGATCCTGAGTCAAGTCTAAGCCTGACTCTTGGCTAGCTATGAAGTGAATAGCAAATTTTCCTAATCCCATTAGCCTATACTGGGAAGTGAGGGGTAATAAAAAAAGTAGGAGCACATACCCATTAGTCGTTCAAGTTTCCCCAAGGTGAATGTAATTTCATCACTGCAAAGTGATTTGGACCCACTTAAGACCTCCTTATATATGGAGTCAAAATGAGACAAGGCATGTTCATACTCATCACGATAGTCCTGGAGCGCAGACATAGTTGTTGATAGCTGTAGTGCTAAACGTCAAAGGGATGAGGATAATCCTTATATATGTCAACTGGCTGCTAAGATGCTCAATATGAGTGCCTGTGCCTCGAGGCCCGGTGCCTCGAGGCCCCCAGATATGCATGTCTCTGTTCATGATCTCGCTCTTGTTAATCTTGGCATAGATAATAATATCCCTGATGATGACAGGCAGGTTGCTCTTAATGTGCAGGTCCGTCTTCAACATCATGGTGATCTGCTCAGTTATATTCCTGCGCGGATCCTCATTGGTCTTCATGTTGCTGGTCATCATGTCGCAGTTAAGATTGAGCTCATCTGTCCTTTCAACAATGTATGCAGTTATGATCTCATTTGTACAGCTAGGGCCGCACGCCCTGCTTTTTTTGGGACAAGAACAAGACCCCGACCATGTGCTTGAGTATCTAGCTGCATGTTCCGCTGAGGTTCCCTTCCTCACCACCTCCGCGGGTAGGTCCACATCTCGGAATTGATCACACACTTTGTTTTGTTTGTGTAGATTGTACATCAGCTTGCCAGACCTGGCCCAAGAGCGAGGGCGCTAGCGCTGCTCCACCGGTGTTCCCCATGACTATCATGCTTCTCATGTCGGAGCATCTGGGACGTGCCGTCTGGACACTGCCATCGGGCATCTCCGTCCATCCGATCATCATCATGATCAGTTTGCATGACTAAGCATATTCGCTTGCCCTCGGGGTGGAGACACTCTCTTAGTGTCTATCATCAGGCTCCGGAGTCCCTCCTGACGGTTGTTTACCAGAGAGAGCAGCGGAGGGCTCCTCTGCGACTAGCACCCCTACCCAGGCGGCTTTCAACCCTCCCTTGATCAGGAAACAATCATAGTCACATGTGGTGACCTCCGCAGCCAGTCGGCGTAGTCGGCTGCTGGTAACTGGTACTTGGGCCGTCCCTAGGGCCCAAGCCCATTCTAGTATCGCTATGAAATAAAGCAGTTCTGTGATTCCAAATTGAAGCTGACCAATAGTAGCTGTTAGTCGGGTGACGAGACGTGGCGACTTTCTGATTGTGTTAGGCACACCAACTGTCCAAAATCAACGGAAAAAAGTCGATTCTTCCCACCGCCTCTGAGCTCGGCCCGTTGATAACAAGATCCGGCTGGGCGAGCAACAGGCCCACCAGCTACTATATGTATCGGAACCCGCCCCTCCGTATTCACGTGGTATCCGTGGTCAAGCAGCCGCCGGATGATCCAACCTGTCCCGTAGCGGCAGCGAGATGGAAGGAGACACTGTTATTATCGCTAATTCCATCACCCTCTAGCAATGCAGGCGCACTCCTCAGATTTTTTCAATGGGCCATCCACCATTGGCATATTTCCTTCCCAGACCGCCCAGTTCAAGAAGGCTTTCATCCTGCTGTTAGTGAATGGTGATGTTCATATTCAAGCGCTTATCCAAGAGCATGCTACAGCAGAAAGGAACCCCTTGATCCAGCGTAGGGAGTGTTTCCAGCACGGTCTCAACAGGCAATGTCATTTAATTTCTGCTCCAGGAGGACCTTCATAACCATCTCGTTATTCCCTGGAATGGCGTGGAATACGGGTGTGCGGTCGTATTCATCTCTCACATTCAGATCTTCTTCATGTCTGAGCAAAGTCTCAGTGACATAGAAATATCCCTTCTGAGCCGCCCAATGCCTCACTGAGCTATCTCCTATAAATACTGGCTATTGATATCTGACTTCTGTTGAACTCTTTTCTGGCTGCCCAGCGGACTTTATACTAGGGTTTTTAGGTTAACTGTACTTAAGGAATGCAATACTAACTAAAGATATCGTATTATTAGTCCCTATTTTATAAATGATGTCTTCTAATCTCATCTAGGTGACCCTGCCCAATTTTGACTGGCCTGAGGTTGGCAGAGGTATGAGCAGAGAAGAATTGTATAAATCAGAGAAATTAATGAGGAGAGTTTTTGATTCGTCCTTGCCAATGACAACACACCCCTCTGTTATTCGACCTCCTCAGGCTCCTCTACTATGCATCAGGTAATTTTTGTGCGCAAATTTAAGAGAGAAATCCGGCTTGAACCTGAAACAAGAGTCATGGGAGGGCAGATATAGGGCTTGAAGCTTTGCAAGCTGACCAGGTCTCTTTCCAGTACCAGGCACTTTCTGTAATTTACAATGTCATTATTCATCAATGGAGTGAAAGACAGCGTTTAAGTGACGTTTGCCGGTACATTCCTAGATGCTCTCCAGATCTTTCGTATTTGCTTCATCAGAGAATGCGTTTCTAGATGCCCGCATGAGCTCGCCTGGGCATTGAATGCCTACTCTCCTGTCTCTTGATCCCTTGGACCTGATGCACCTAGGTACTTTTGCTTAGGTACATAGAGACTCTTTCCGAATGGGCGCCTTCGAGTAGAACTAAGGGGCTAGGAGCTCTTGGTTCAGCGAATAGGAGCTAGATCCGGCGGCAGCGCCACTTGGCGGGCTATGCGAGAGGCCATTGATGAGTCAGTTGAAACCTAGGTACTCTGTATTTAGTACCCTGATCTACAAATCGCTCAGGAATGAAATAAAGGAGACCAGGGAGGTGTCAGAAATGTAATCACTTATGAATTAGCCCAGTAAACCATGAAGCCAGGGGCACGGGATCCACTTGTTTCCAAGTGGGGTGAGCTAACACTAATATAAAGATACCCAAGTTGGTTATTACACATCAGAGAACCAAGACTTGGAATAGAATGCTCTTAGTCTTACCAGCAGCAGTGCAGCACTAAGTAGAGAATTCGAAGCGAGCTATGAGCACACCATATATCAGGCCCATATGGTTGGTTTTCTAGGGATCTATTAATTATTATGGGTAAGCTATTGCCTATGTAATGAACAAGGTGCATACAGGAATAAGTACTCCGTAAGCCTTGAGTATGACATAACTAAGGTTTTGCCTCAAAAATCCTGCTAGCGGAATGATCCAGCTTTGCTTATCAAATAAGGGTTTTGAAAAAAAAAAGGAAAGGGGTTGGGGAGTGGAGGGGTGCGACCGTGCAGGGGTGGCCGTGGGTCGCAAATGTTGGGGCAACCGGACAGCCCTGTGTTGGGAGCAGGATGGCTTGTAATATGTCATTCATTGTTTTTACCAAGCTGTTGACAAACCTAAATGCAGTATATATGAACTAAGGGACGCTAAGTGGAAGTTCTTAGATTGCTAAAACCAGATAAGCAGCGTATCCCCAGTTAATTTTCTTTTGAAGGGAGAACTGGTCAGCCTATAGTGAGCTTTTCTATAGCCACATCTCGCCTTGCAAACAATGTCTTCCGCGATGCCTGACCCCCACCAGCCTGATCCGCGACAGCGCCTGAGCTTTGAACAATTACGACTCATCATCAGTTACCTGCCTACGACCTATAACCTGCCATATAGGAATGGCAATCTCCACCAGATTGATGATATACTTCGTCGCCTGTGTATCAACTAGACGCCGCAAATTGGGAGCGAGCCTTATGAGGGCATGAAGAGAAGTTATGCGGACAGAAACTGTGATAATGACATTGCATGGTGTATCCTCCGTGGACATGCGCGAGTTCAACTTCGACGGCGACTGCGGAGACGTCTGCAGATTTCAAGGGACCTAAATCACTGTTTCGATAAAGAACGCCTTAAAACAGTCTTGAGTTTGATTTCCGACGCTCTTTGGCCCCGCGGTAAACAAACATGCCGGCCTAGCCGCAAGCGAGCTGGTGGTCATCTGCTCAGCAATATAAGGTATTTTAATCGAAAGCCGAGTTGCGATGTTTTAAAAGCCGGCAGCTGGCCTATTGAGTCTATTCTACCAAATATGCCTTACAACATGGCCAACGTGTACCAGGCTGGACGTATATCGTCGGAACCTCAACTACAAGGGAAGGAGTTTGACATATCGCTGGCGGCAGATGATCCCTTCGCTCAATATCAGAAGGCACTGGATGTCCTAGAGGCGGACGCCATGGCAAAGTGGAGACTGGCGCGGGCGGATGAGGTTCGATACCCCGAAAGGACCCCAAAGGACCTCGAGAGGACCTCGGACTTTGAGTAGGACGCTCTTACCATCAGTTTGTGCTTATTGGACCTCTACAGGTGCATAGGAGAACGCGATTTACTATGTTACAGTTAACTATCGCCCAAGTATATGAGGGAATTTTGTGTTTCGCGTAGGCCCTAACAGGTACATCATGGCATGTGGACTGGAATCAAATATATATATACTTACTCCGTACCAGTCTTTGAGACAGTAAATGATCTATGTTCAATAAAGTCACAGCATGTACAGTGGTAAATCTTAATAATTAATGTGCCCCTGATTCTCCTGTCGAGGTTTCTGTCCTCGTCCACCCGTGCGCGAGAGGTCCCTCAATCTTGGGATGTACAGCCGCTTGTCCTCATTCTGTGGGCCAGTCGCTGGGCAGCGGCGAGACCGCATGACTGCTGTCTCTGTGACTTGGAACAGGATCACGATCTAAGCTCAACGAGGCTGCTTCTGTGGAGATTAAGCACATGAAGCTGCTCAGGAGCTGCTTCAGAGCTGCTTCAGGGAACAGGAGGAGAGCTTAGATGAGCACGGACGACAGTGAGGTCTGCGTCCTCATTGTGTTGTTAATATGGCTTCTGGCCCAGCTCTCATACAGAGCGCAGCTGTCTCCTAACTCCACTTCTTTCCTGGTATGCTACACTGCTACAGGCCCAGTCACGTTATAGTTGTTAGAACTTGGAATCCAAACATCACAGTTAGTCTTGAGTACGATTCTAGCGGTAACTAGTCCTTATACAGAAAATCGTGTATCCAATCAACATCCATAATCTCAGTATTGTAGCTACAATGACTTAGGACAAGACTCAGGGTCTTAAATACAACAGGCCAGGTCTGCTGGTACTTCTATCCCACAGCTACAACAGGGCGGTCTAAGGCGCAAGCGATGTTACTTCTTTTCCCAAGCAAATTTCGGTGCATCTGGGGCTTTTATGTAAACTACCAATGACTGCTTCTCGCCAGCAAAGCTGTTGTCTTGGGGCGGCGCATGATCATCAGTCCCTTGCTATAACCCATAGGTCCGCAGCTATTACTGAGAATTTCTACCCCTTACAATCCTGTGTTCTTCTTTTCCTTCCTGGAACAAGTCCCTCCATCCTTGCGCCTGTATTTTGCCGCTTCCTAGTTTCCATCTAGTAGATGAGTACTTGGGTTTCTTATGTTCTTTAGTATGGTATGGGACTATGGGATGCCAGGAGAGGCAGCAGAGACTCGCAAATGCGAGGGCCTATTCAAGGAAAGGAAGAACTTTGCGGATGATGAATGGAGAAGGACCTTTTCTTCACACAGCATTTTAGATATGTGGCCTGTAATAGAGATTCAGCATGCCCAATCTGAAGATGGATCCAGAATAGACTAAAGTAGAATACTTTAAAATGGGAATGGGCAATGTATATAGCTGACTCGCCTTCCTCATAGCTTATGGCTCGACTTTCCTTTCAAATCATTCAAGTAGCCATATTCCACATTCCTGATGCGAAGATGGTCGAGTCTCATGGTACGGACTAGTCAGATCTTTGTACTAAAGATGAATTTTTCATTTGCCAGATTCCGACTGGTAAAGATTCCCAGCGCCGTAGTACATTAGATTGTTTGAGTTGTTTTCAAAGTCAGTGTTCTGACATAAACGCATTGGAGAGCTCATAGAAAACATAAATGTGTCTCTGATAGATACTCACTGACCACATTTCGCGAGACCTGTGGTGCGGCGGATCCTTAGGAGGCCGGCGCTGCCTTACGCACAAGGGCTTCGCAAGCCACTGGATCAAACTGGCAATGAAGGACATGACTATTGAGGAAAGGATAATTACGCGTCAACGAGTAGAATTAGTCACCCGCTTTGGCAAATCCACCCACATTGGCAAACGCCGCCTAGCTCTCCCTTCAACCATTGCTCATCCAAATTTCAATATAACTACCACCAAAATGCTCACTAAGTAGTACATTAGACTATATAGTAAGACACATAGCTAATGTTCTACAGGTGAAATCGGCAGCGATTAACTGAAAGTTTGGAAGAAACAGCGTCAGAATGCTCAGACATCCCGCATAGCCCGAAAATGCCTACGTGCTTCCTCCCTGCCAGCCGGAAGCAGTGAATAATAGGAGCGCAAGAAGGAGGAAGCTGAAGAGACAAGAAGGAAAGATAATGGGTGAAGGAGGAAGCTTAGGCTGCTTGACTTGCTAAGGGAAACATACCTAAGTTTAAGCAGCTAAGCTCCTCCCAGGCTACGCCTCTATTCAAATGAGGCAGGCGCGCACTTAGGCTGCTAGAAACAGCAGCCTCAGTAGGCTCCTGGATTTCTTCAAGGAAGCTCTTAATATACTCAAGATCTGGAGATCTACTCACCTGTTCCAACGCTGCGGTGGCCAGCAAGGCTTCCCCCAGCGATTCTCTACGCCCAATCGCAAGATCTCGATAATATCAGACCCTACGTTTCAACACCGCAGCGGCTAGCTAGATCTTCGCCTACAGAACAGGAGAATGGCTTCAAATAATATCTACTAGATGACGTGGCTTTGGAGCTGCGTTGGTTGGATGAGGCCTTACAAGGCACCCCTTCGCGCGGCGCAAAGCGCCCTAAGCGGAATCCACTAGGGGAGATTGAGAATGATCCGGATCTTTAATATATCTAATTTATCATTTTCTGTCGAGTTTTACTAGTAAATTCCATTATATTTTGGACGTGCTGTGACTACTGTTAAATCCGTAGTTTTTATAAATATTTTAATGATTTGGGGGTGCTGCGGGCGGCGTTTACCAAAGTGGGTGACTGACTAACTCTACTGCTGAAGGCCATTTCTTGAATACTCTGTTCTAATTTGTGGTGAACAATCTTGACAAGGCAGGTATCTTTATCTAAAAAGAGGTGATCAATTGCGGTTGCGCTCATCTTGTCTATCTCCAATGGACCTAGAAAGATAACCGGGTTCGTGGGTGGGGCGCATGGTGGCTCATCTTGCTGCGAGGGTACGATACCTCGCCAAGCGCTACTGGGTCGCACAGAAGTCAATTATCGATTTTGTCAAGGAGGAGCGGTTGCCAGGGACCAGACAAGTGCTTACCGCCATTAAATACGGCCACAAGGTGTATCTGGGAGAATTGGAGCTCAAAAAGCCGGGGATTTGGCTTGCTCTGATGAGTGTTCTCAAGGTGACCAAGATGCCTTTGTTACAGGTGTATCAAATCCCTAGGTTCCCTTTTACGTGATAGGTAAGGTATCTGGAAATCATAAATGCTGCAAAGGGATGGTCTAGGCTCATGGCAAACTCAAGCCAATTATATATTGGTGAGACATAACCCTTGTCTAACCCTCATACATGCGCTAATTAGAGAATAGATGAGCTCTCAGTGGGTCCTTATGAGTCGGCGTCGTTGGGCGATGGTCAAAGAAAAGTAGAAAACCCAAAACTTACCCTAAGTCGTCTTGTTAAACAGGCCCCACTTGGAAATAAGTAGATACTTAAAGATCAGGAATCTCCATTATAGGATGTGATGTCCTAAAGTAATACCACTAAAGCTCAAGCTCGCAGACAGCCAAATGCGAACATTTTATTGGCTTACCTGGAATCAACTTTTATTGGCACTTCCATTTCATACTTTGATATCCGTTCTACTTGCCGCCCCTTGAGGCGGTGCTTGAGTCGATATAGATCGATAGACAGTGGCCGTGGCATGATGTCTCTCTCTTCCATCATCTTCTCCCAGCTGTGACAGAGACTGGGCATCAAATTAGCTAATCAGCCATTCAGGCGCAATTACGTCATGCTGCGTTGTAATCTTCAGCCGTAATTAGAGAGATACAGGTTACTGTGTATTTCTGTTCGATATTCATGTGCCTGTACCTCTCTAGAGAGGTGGTGATATAGTTATATGATACTATCAAGCACTCCAAGGTTGCTCCAGCTCCATCTCTGGATCCTTCGGTTCCTGTTCTGTCTTTCCTGTCTTTCCAGAAGCTGTAGTACCATGGTTCCTGTGCTCGCCACACTCAACCTCTTGCTTCGCATGTAGATAGCTTCGTTCTTAGCTAGTCATCCAGTTTACCGAATATCAGTCTATTCGTTCATTCTCACATAAATTGATGGCGGCCTCTCAACAGCAGGGTCGTTGTCTTGAGGTGTATGATCACCTGTTTCTTGCCGTAACCCATCAGCTAGTGGACGCCAATGAGGATTGCTACCCCTTACACTCCTAGTCCTTCTTTGTCCTACTTTCTTAGAATGAGTCCTTCCCTTCCTGACCCAGTATTTTGCCGCTTCCTAGTTTCCATCTAATATATATTAGTAACTGGGGGCCATATTAATCATGCCCAGAAGGGACATACAGTATCCATGTTAACTCTTGATGGGGATGATCAGTGAAGGCAGCAGAAGACTCAGGATCAGCAATGTGCTTCTTCTTAAAGCGGGCGTTCAGGGCAACTAGGATGAGAAAAGTTCCCATCCATATATATATAATGACGTATACGAAGGGAAGCATTGCTTGAACGAAGAAGAGTTCGACCCGTCCCAGGCCATCCGTTTCGTATCTTACAAGCCTGACTTGTGACAGATTATGATTGGCACAATTGGTCTATACAGCCTTTGCAGTCACCTTCAACAGTCGTTGATCAGCAGCTAGTCTATACCCTCATCCGCCAACACTTCCGCTGGCTGCTTTTGCAGTCAGGTACAATCACCAGCAACCGAGCTCTCAAAGCTACTATCACCCAGCTTCATTCTCTTCACACTATGTCCCACAATCAAATCTTTCACATGATTGACGCTGACCTAGAAGGCAAGTTGAGATTTTCTATCAGTCGTTCTGACTTAGGCATAAAGGGCTAATAATGCTCATAGTTCTGCTGTACCATACACCTTTCCTTCAGTTTCGGCAAGCCCTCCAGCGCTTCCAGATCATACATACACTTCATCGTAAGCCGCTCTGAGGTCAGTTCTATAGCCTGAGGAGACTAAAGCGCATTTTCCGGTCCAACAGAGTTGAGAACATGTATTCCGTACATATTGTGGTTAAGGGCTGGCTGCGGCCAGGACCCACAGACAAGGATAATTTCTTCTCCTTTGTACAAATCTGTTGGATCAGGAAGCACCATTTCGTCTGAACAATTCCCCGAAGATGAGATATTTTAAGTAGTCAACAGGTTGAGAATATGTAGAAAATTGGATTTGCTGAAAGAACATTAAGAATATCAGTATCCATACTTCCCAAACCCGGTTGTCAGTCATAGGTAGCATTATAAGCGATTGATCAAAGGGATGCCATAACTGGTTGACACGAAGGGCGCTGGAGCAGTCGATGTACTACACCGAAGTGGCCTTGTTAGATGGCCAGCTTCACTGGAGTAGATCCTTTGCTGTCCTTGAAAGCCAACACCACATCTGATCTATCAAGAAGAAGGTTCACCATTGCTGAATTCCCATTATTCGCTGCCCAATAAAGTGGAGTCCTTCCCAGATCGTCAGTAATATTTGGGTCGAGTTGCTTGGTTACTAGCAGCAAACGTGCGATTGGTAAAGAGCCCCTTCTTGCTACATGATGAAGGGATGTGGATGTCTCTTCACCTGCATTTGCTGTAACCTCAGTGGCAGTGACGTTGACGTTCAAATCAGGTATGGCTAGTAGCCGACTGACTACTTCGTCTCTCTGGTATCGGATCGCTAGCTACATCGGCGTTCTCCCACGGCTATCTGCCCTATTGATATCAATATTCGGCTGCGCGAGAAACAGGTTCACCACTGCCAGGTGACCTTTCTCTACTGCTCGATGCAACGGAGTCCTCCCTCTGTTATCTCTGGTATTCACCTCGTATTCGTAATTGAGCAGCCGCTGGATAATTTCAATGTCTCCTGTAGCGGCAGCAAGATGGAGGGAGAGACTGTTGCTGTAGTGTATTCTCTCATAATCGAAGTCCGGCATCGCAGGTGCAATGCGCAAACTTTCCAGCAGAGTATCCACCATATCCATATTTTTGTGTTGGACTGCCCAGTTCAGCGGTGTGTACATACAGCAGTTTCCAACGTTCACATTCACACCCTTATCCAAGAGCATTCGGACAGCAAAAAGGGAATCCTTTGATGCAGCATAGCTCAGCAGAGTATCTCTGTGACAGTTTCGACAGGCAAGGTAAATTGATTTCTGCTCCAGGAGGGTCTTGACGGTCACCTCATCTTGGGAATCAATGGCATTGAATATGGGTGTGCGGCCATCTTCATCTCTTACATTCACGTTCGCCTCATATCTGAGGAGAAAAGACTTGATAACATGGGAATTTCCTTTGCGAGCCGCCCAATTCACTGCTGAGATTCCTCGTTGATTGACATTAAATTGGCAGAGGTATGGGTAGAGAACGTTGTATAGCTGTTTATTCGCCCTTGCCAATGATGCAATATGACTGGCTTGTTCGAGCTCCTCCACAATATGTTGGAGTAAGCTCAGGGGTAATTTCATGAGAGACAGCTGGTTCGAATCAGAAACTTGGCAGTAGATTGTTCCAACAGGCTCAGATATAAACAGATATGAAAGGATTCTTATTCTTCATGTCTAAGGGTGAGCTGCCTTCCCATGTTCTAAGATTTGCTCTGGGGGCAATGATATTCGCTACTATCTACTATTTCCTGTTGCAAGATTTTAAAGGGTATTACCTCGCCATAAGCCTGCATAGAGATATGGATCATGGTTGGACAGTGTGGACTCAAATTAGGCGCTGAGCGCAGATTGCTGAGGAGAAGATGTCCAGCTGTGCCGTTTCTTGACCAATAATGAGTCTGTGTAGAAAATTACTGCCTATCTTGATCCACAGCTGTAGATCAGTCTGCCGTCTCTGTGACTCAGCTAGTATGGCAATAAGACACTATTTACCGTAGAAGCTAAAAGCGTTTCCTATTGGAATATGCATATTGAAACCTTTTCCTGTAGGCTGAGTATGTAACAAGTCACTAAAATCTTTTCCTATTTGATACTGCGTATGGTAACAAAGTCATTTAGCAGCCAAGTTATTCCCATAGCCGTATGGCACACCTAGCAAGCCTAGGACCATCAATGGGCTGCCATGGATATCCAGCAGCAGCAGCATCGCACCCAGGAAGGTTTAGATGAGGAATTGGCCTAGGCTGAAAGCATGCAGTGGCATAACTAATGTTATATTTATGTCATGGCGGGTCGTGACCAAGAGCATGAGTTATATCATTGCCAGCACCCTAGTAGCCAGATAGCTAAGCAGTGGATGAAAGATGTATGAGGGGTGATTCCATACGCGCCATATACCGCATGTTATTTATGTGGCATGCCCCAATCCATATGTCCTGGGTGGGAAGCCCGGCAGCAATGTGCATACCGCGGGATGCTGGTTTCCATGGTTGCCATGATGTTATCTGGGCCATGGCGGAGCCAGATCAAGCCCATATGGCAGCGCCGGTTACAGGGAATGGGCGTTGATGCACAGGATCCAGCCCAGGTTATCTAGTTTTTAGGACAGGCCCATCCTGAACAGGAGAGGCATAATCAGTTATTTATGTTATTTTGTTGGTTACGGCGGTTATGTTGGGAGATTAAACAGAGGATCCGTTAATAGGCGTCCATACCATATATATATATATATTAGTGGTGAATGAGAGAGCAGATGATAGTACCCCCAAACCATTACGTATATATATATATTATAAGTTGTAGTATTAGAGATTAAATGCAGAATCAGCGGTTTATTCAGTATATAATTTAAGATTAGATGAAAACCTAAAGTAAGAGAGTAATAGAGTGACAGTTAAGTAGGAATTTAGTACAAATTCAGCAAGAGATAGAGAAAGGGATGAAGCATTGTAGGAACAGAGTTCCTATGCTAGTTATCATAGAAAACACAGTGAGGCCATGGTCATTATATAAGGATACCACCATCCATTTATCCATGGTCCCAGATAGGCAGCCATGGCAGTACCAGGAGTTTTGATCCCATGGTAGAACAATGTTGTTCTGAGCATGGTAGAGCTAGGTCAAGCCCATTTAGCAGTGTTCATCGCAAGGAATGAGGGTTAATGCTAATGATAGGGCCTGTCAAGGTGCAGGCTCGTAAGTAAACAGAAGTAGGTTAATGAGGTAGTTGACACTCAGGCTGGCTACAGTGATCTCTATCTATCTGTTCAGGCTGCAGGGCAGGCTGGTACAGGCAGGCTCTATAGACAGGACGTAGCTCAAGGAGCTTCAAACAGGTTGCAGAATTGTGCAGTGAAGATATTCCCAAGGTCACATGATTCCTCCTCAGCAATGCCAACTCCTATTCACAGCAGCACCGTGACAGAAATTATGATTTTGGGTTAATAATTTAGGGTTACTATTATCTATAGATATTCTAGGTAGTATAGATCTTATTCTAAATAGTATCTATATAGCTTTATCTAGAATATTATATATAGGTAAGATAGTAGGCTAATTCTATATATTTAGGGCTTATTATATATACTTAATAGTTTTACTAAGTCTTTAGAGTATATTATTATTATTTTTTATCTACTCTAGTTTAGTAATTTACCTCTATATAGCCTTATAATCTTCTCTAGAGAGTGGAGAAGATTAATATTTATTAAGTTATAACTTATTCTATTATCTATTACCTCCCTATCTCTTTAATAATACTATAGTTATGCTAATCCTCTATCTAATTAATAAAATATCTATCTCTATAGTAGTTCTACTCTATATTACTATCTTCTATAATCTTTCTCTCTCTATTTATATACCTAATAGTAGTTATACTTTATATCCCTTTTAATTTTATAGCTATAACTCTTTTATATATAAGTTACTAAGCTTAATTAGATAGTTTATTTCTTAGTCTCTAGATTCCTCTTACCTCTCTCTGACTTTCTATATATATATATTTCTCTCACCTCTTACCTCAACCTAGTAGCTATAAATATATATATATCCTAACTATCCCTACTAGATCTATTCTAGTGACTGATCTAATTACTATCTAGTCTAATAGGCCTAGTAGTATCACCTCTCTCTAAGATATATCTCTACTAGTCTGTCACGGTGCTGCTGTGAATAGGAGTTGGCATCGCTAAGGAGGAATCACGTGATCTTGGGAATATCTTCACTGCACAATTCTGCAACCTGTTTGAAGCTCCTTGAGCTACGTCCTGTCTATAGAGCCTGCCTGTACCAGCCTCCCTGCAGCCTGGGACTGTTAGATAAGGATTAGTGTAGCCAGCCTGAGTGTCAACTACCTCTTTAACCCACCCCTGCTTGCCTGTGAGCCTGCACCTTGACATAGTCTATTATATAAAATTCATGAAATATTTACTTCTATGAATTTTTAAAAATTCTAGGCTTAAAATTACTAAGTAATATATATACTACTAGGCTAGTAGAGACTAGGACTATCTACTAAAAATAGTTAGATCTAGTAGATAGCTATAATAAAAATAATAATCACTAATAGCTACTGTTAGAAACCTACTACTTTAAAGAATTTCTAAAAATCCTATGGTTGATATTACTAAGCATGCTATATATCACTAGACTAGTTAGAATTAGCTCTATCTACTAAAAATAACTATACTTAGTCAGCTAGTAATAAATTTCAAAGTATGTTTTAAGAATTTTTAAAAAATAACGTAATCCACGGCCGAGCGGCCATTACGACCGAACGGCCACTTTTCTTCGCACCCTACTTTTTTTTGATGCATTTCGAACACCAACGTAATTAATTTAGATTATCTAGTAGCTGATTATCTAGCTATTTATTAGGACAACTTCTTCTATTATGTCCAATAGTCCAACATCCACTACAGGTTGGCGGAGCGCGCTGACGAGATATAGGTATAGGCTCATCAACCTGCTCATCAACCTGCTCATCAACCTGCTGAATACGGTCACGACCTCCCTGCACAGATATAAAGAGGTTATTCCCTAGATTAATACGCTTCCTTGCCTTCTTCTTCATTTTCCGCTCATTCTCAGCCCGTAGAACCTTGATTTCTTGTTGTAGAAGAAGGTTTGCATTCATTGCCATCTGCGCAGCCTTTTCAAGATGCTGAATATGTGATATCGGACTGCTAGAAAGTGTCCTTTTCTTCTGAAGACTTTTCTGTAGACTGCGGACCTTTTTATCAAGCTGGCGAGCATTCTGGGGTGTCTGAAAAGCAGAAGATATTGACCCTTCAATATCAATAAGAGGTGGTGTTGGCGTACGGAGTTGAAAGGTAATCTTAGCAAGGACCCGGTCTATATCAAGTGGATTAAGACCAGCTCCTGCGAAGCCATTGCATATATTCTGTTGAGTAAAGACTGCTTCACGTGCAGGAGGGTATAGATATAAGAAATCCTCTTTATCAATATGGTTGTTTCCAGCCATCATCATCTCCTCAACTAGTTTCCCATATGCGCGCTTAAGAGGCCCAAAAACCCCAACATCTAGGGGTTGGAGAAGATGAGATGTATGCGCAGGCATACAGAGACAGATAATTGCATTCCCTTTGCAAAAATCATCAAATTCAGCAGATAGATGGCTTGAATGGCCATCCAGAATAAGTAGCCTTTTTGCACCAGTTGAATATTCGTCTTGAAAAGGGGTCGAATATGTGCTTCAGCCACTTAAGGCCAATCTCATCTATTGTCCAGCCATTAGTGCTATTGGTAAGCCTCCAGTCTGGAGGAAGATTAAGTTCTTGATACCAAGCAGCTGGGTGTTCCTTCCCTTTTAGGATAACTGCTGGTGGGATAGAGATCCCTTTTGAGCCCACACATTCAATGATTGTAACCCATTCGCGGTTTCCCTGGATAACTCTGCGAGGTCTCTCACTGCGTTCCACTGATGTAATAACCTTTGAAGTAGTACTGAGCCCCATTGCAAAGCCAGTCTCATCAAAGTTCCAGATATCATCTTTATGTATGCCATGCTCCTGGATAACTTCACGGACAGTCTCAAATCACTGTTTTATGACTTTAGGATCCTCCTGCTTTGCACGCTGGTATGTAATCCTCCGATTATATCTTGTACGTAGTTCAGGGCGTCTTCCAGTGAAGGAATAAGACCAGTTGATACCAAGGACTGCAGTAGGGTCCTGTGTGCGCTTGCGAAGTAGAATCTGCGCCATTCCACGCAGGAACTCTGGGCGAATTGAAAAGCCTCGTTTATCTGCATCTAGCAGTATCTTAACAAGGGATTCTTCTTCAATAGTAGTTAATTTATGGCCGTTAGCACGTGTTTCTGATCGTGGTTTGATGCCAGCAAGCCGTTCGCGAAGGGTAGTTTCAGGTACACCATATATCTGGGCAGCTTTCAATTTTGATTTAACTTTCTTCTCTTTCCAAGCAGTAATTGCCATTTGTAGACGGGCTTCCTTAGATAAAGGCATTTTGTATGGAGATAATAAAAAAATGACGCGTTGAAGAATGTTGATTTGGGAGAGCAGCAGGGGCAATAAAAAATTCGCGGTTCGGTCGTATTCGCGGCTCGGCCGTGGGTTACGTTAAGGAATCATGCTTACATAATCAGACTACTATCGTTCTAACGTAATCCACCACCGAGCGGCACACACCACCGAGCGGCACATGATTTTTACCAAAATTAACAAACCAGGAAATCTTCTACTACTGCGCAATCAGAATAAAGCTATTTTCATACATAAGAGAATTATATTACCTACTAGGGCAGCCAGTTCTAATATGACCAATTTGATGACAGTTACTACATCGTGGTGGCGCACGCTTCCTAGGCATTGTTTCCACTGAAACCAGCCTCTCTGCTTCTTGAGCAAGCTGCTGGCCTTCAGCCCCTGTTAGAACGCCCCCTGAGGCAATAAAAGATCGAGTAGCTGCGCGCTTTCGCTTTCGCTTCTCATTTGCTGCACGAAGCTCATTCATCTGATGTTGTAACAGAATAACGTCGTGCATGGTGGATTCAGCTGCCTTTGCTAGCTGACGGAGTGCTTCGTTTGGGGGGCTTTCGGAGTTGCGATTAATAAGTTGCTTGATAAGCTCCATCTGCTTTTGCACCTCAGCAGTAGTCAAAGGGGTCTTTGCAACCCATGACCCGTCTGAGGGACCATGAGCTGTGGTTAGGGGTGTGATATTCTTAATAGTAAGCTTATCCAACACCCTCTGAGGGTTTAATGGAATCAGACCAGAAGCTTCAAAACCACTGCAAATATTCTTGGGTGATATAGCCTTTCGTGACTCTCTATAGAGATCAAGAAAGTTTTGCTTATCAATATGATGAATACCATGTTGGATGCTTCTCATCACCTCTGCACCATATGCCTCCTTTAGGGGTGCAAAGCAACCAACATCAAGAGGCTGTAAATGATTTGATGAATGAGAAGGCATGTATAAAGGAATGATCTGATGATTCTTGCAGAAAAGATCAAACTCTGCAGATTCATGGCTAGCATGGCCATCAAGAATCAGAAGCCGATATCTCCCTATTGTACGTGCCATGGTATGCTTCTGAAAGACTTTTTCCAACCATGATAGGCCAAGCTGATTGTTGGTCCATCCATTATCACTAAGACCAATCAGCCAGTCGTGGGGTATATCTTGATACCATTGGGATTGATGGACTTTGCCAGTAAAGATGATCATAGGTGGTAGAGCCCATCCAGAAGTATTGATACATTCAATGGCAGTCACCCATTCGCGATTCCCTGGCTGTATGGCTCGTACGCGACTTGTTCGATGACGGGATGCAGTAATAACCTTTGCAGTATGGGCTACACCCATTTGGAAGCCAGTTTCATCAAAGTTGTAGATATCCTGCTCAGAATACCATATTTTACTATAGTATTCTGAACTAGGTCGAACCACTGTTTGATGATCTTTGGATCCTCACATTTTGCACGTTGATAATCGTACTTGCGGGTGTATTTGGATATGATCTCATCATGTCGTTTGATAAAGCGAGAAACCCAGTTCAAGCCAACAGCCTCAGGCTCTCCCTTGTGAGATAGTAATAGATTCGCCATCGTCCGTACCATATCCTGGGTTGGAGGGAGACCACGCTCATCCATATCAAGAATCCACTTCTTAAGAGAAGCTTCTTCCAAAACTGTGAGCTTCTGGCTGTTTGCTGGAATGTTCAGGCGTGCTTTTCGACCTTTGATTCGGTAAGTGAGCGTACGATATGGTACATCATACGCTGCGGCTGCTGCGCGGATGCTCTTAAATTGGCTATTTTTAAATGCTTGAATTGCGAGCTGTATTCGGTCCTCTGATTCAGCAGCTGGATCTGTAGATCCTTGAGGCATAATAATGAGTTGGTGATACCATGAAGCAATCTGTTAACTAATCAGGGGATGAGGTGGTAGTGTATCGAAAGTTTGTGCCGCTCGGTGGTGGATTACGTTATAGCTAAAAGTGCCTACTATTCACTAAAAATAACGTAATCGGTAAGCGAGTCGGCCACGTAAGCGAGTCGGCCACGTAAGCGAGTCGGCCACCCGGTCAAGGCATATCCTAGAATTCTGATTTACATACAAAAAAGGAAGTTATTCCACGTTAATCTAACCATTAAAACGCGCTGAATTCAGGCAGCTACTCGATTAGGACATCTTGTACGTATATGTCCTAAAACACCACACATACTGCACCGAGGTGGTGCCCGACGGCGTGGTTGATCATCTCCAGGCCCTGTATCACCAGCTGCTTCCTCTAAGGCCTGAACATGGTTGAATGCCTCAAGTGCTTCCTGGATTGTGAAGCCATTCAAACCATTCATTTGGTGTTGGTTACGCTTCTGCTTATTCTTTCGTCTCTCAATGGCCTGGTGAAGTTGAAGGTTTTCATGTTCAAGAAGAATAGCACGGTTCAAGGCTATCTCTGCACCTTTACAGATGTAAGATATTGCTGTCTGTATTGGTGAGGTAGGAGGGTTTGTTTGAAGTAATTGAGAGATCACCGACTCATGCTTCTTGAATTGATTCAAATTTATCGGTGTTTTGGTAATCGTAGATGTAGTGCCTTGACTGCTGGGACGGCTGTCTTCCTTGTAAAAGATGAGGCTATCCAGAACCTGGTTAGGATTAAAAGGGACTAATCCTGAGGCTCTAAAAGCACTCTGTATATTCATCTTCTTGAAGGCTTGGGCGTGGGCTTCTGGGTAGACGTCAAGAAAGTCAACCTTATCAATATGGTGATATCCTGTTCGTACAAGCCGTTCAATGAGGTTACTGTAAGCTCGTTTCAATGGTGAGAAACAGGCCACATCCAAAGGTTGACAGAGATGTGAGGAATTTGCAGGCATGCAAATAGGAATAATATCATTTTGACGACATATATCATCAAATTGAGGTGTTAAATGAGAGTCATGCCCATCAAGAACTAAGAGGCTATATTGGCCAGTTCTTCGGTCCTTAATATAAGGAATAAAGTGTTCTTTGAGCCAGTGTTCACCAATTTCTCGTGTTGTCCATCCATTTGATGATATAGCAATTCTCCATGAAGCTGGAGTATTACCTTCATACCAGGCCTGAATATGAGTCTTTGCTTTCAACACTAAGTATGCTGGTAATGCCCATCCGGAGGCGTTAATACACTCAATTGAAGTTATCCATTCTCGATTTCCCGGTTGTATAAGAAAGGGCCTTCCTTCACAGGATGATCGTGTGATTACCTTCGCGGTAGCCACCAGGCCCATAGCAAAGCCGGTTTCATCAAAATTGTAGATATCTTCATTGGCGATACCATAAGTTGATATAGCGGCTTGCACGCGTTTGAACCAGGCTTGAAGAACTTCAGGATCCTCGCATTTCGCCCGTTTATAATTGATTTGACGACTAAACCGACTTTTCAAGGAATCATGGCGGGAAATGAAGTTATATACCCATTTCTCTCCCACTGAGGAAGTTGTATCTTGACCACGTTGTTGGATCAATATTGTAGCCATTTCACGGACCTGGAAGTGCCTTAGCGGTGCACCACGTTGATCTAATAAGAGAATCCATTTAATAAGTGATTCTTCCTCTATAGGAGTCAACTTATGGGAATTGGCGCGGGTTTCCTTGCGAAATTTGATTCCATTCAAACGATCTTGAAGTGTTGACCGGGGAACTTCAAAGACACGAGCAGCTTCACGAACTGATTTGATTTGGCCATTCTGAATAGCCTTAACTGCTAAGGAGATCCTCCCCTCTCGTTCCACCAAGGATTTTGATGATTTGGGCATTTTTCGTGGTGATATGGATGGCTGAATAGCCTTGGTTTCAAAGGGGTGGTGATTCTTGATGGGGGTGGCCGACTCGCTTACGTGGCCGACTCGCTTACCGAATACGTTATTTATTATTAGTCATCTAGTACTAGACTCTTAGTAAATACTAGAAATTATTTTTCTTATAGTTTCTGCCTGAATTCTAAGGCTCTCCTAGCCTAATAGACACCTCAGGCAGTACTCCATAGTAGGTGGTGGCCTAAAAAGGGTATAGGCTTCCCGTAGATAGTGGTCTTGGCAGACCCCAACAAAAGATTTTGACCTTACCCTGACCCCCCTAGTTCAACCCCCTTGCTAGTGAATATCCTATAATCTAATATTAGAATATTATAATTTAGGGAATTAGAATTATAAATCATTTTAAATCATCCAAAAATATTAAGATTTGACTAGTTCAGGACCTAGTGATGGGTTACCCTCGTCACCTCCCCCCCTGTCAACCCTAGTTTTAATATGATCAGATCCCCTATTGATGGATCATTATAATGTTTGGGTGAGGATGTGGTTATGTCGGCGCTGCTCCTCCCGCTGGCCGGGCGCTGTGGGTGGGGGTCCCCCGCCCCAGTGCGCCTGCAGCGCGGGCAGGGCCTGGGGGGTGTCAGGCATCCCTGCCGCGCGGAGCAGGCCCAGCAGCGAGCGCCGGTGGAAGTACCGGGGCCATTCGGTGAACATCAGCCACGGGGTGGTGTCGTCCTGTTGCTGGCGCTGGATGTCAAAGATAAAGAGGGAGTCCTCACTGTTCTCTGGGGCGGTGGCCTGCTCAGTGTGCACAGCTGGACTAGCAACTAGCTAGAGTATGTGCTGCTTGGCCTGCAGGACCTCATGCTCTTAGGCCAGGACCTCCTGCACCTAGGTCGGAGCGGTGGTGGTGGTGGTGGATGCGGGGAAGCTGGTCATAAGGCTCGCCATTGATGGGGGACCCGACGGGGGCCGCAGCCAAGGGGACCCTCCTGTCATGATTGATGAAGGAGGCTGCTGGCTGTGCTGCCAGCCCCCGGGGCCACTACCAGCCCCAGAGCCAGCTGGCTCCCGGGAGGACGCAGGGGGCATTCTGGTTTCAGAGCACTCTGTCTCCCGGAGCGGCACAGGCGGAGCTCCCAGATCATCTAGGTCATTCCAGGGTCCATCGTCCATCGTCCCGGCGGTGTCCTCCCCCCAGGCCTCCGCGGCCGGTCCTTCCGTCGCCGGCCCGGGCCCCCCAGAGGAGGGGGGCCGACCGCCCCGCTTGGGTTCCCCTAACCTGCTATCACCGCCCGCCGGGCCTCCGTCCGCGGGCTGGGGGGGGCGTGGCTCGGGGTCACGGGGGTCGGGGTCAGGGTCGGGGTTGGAATGAGCTGGGTCGCCCGGGGGATGGACGGGGTGGTGGCGGCGGAGGTAGGCTGCATGGGCGGTGGGCCCTGTGGCTGCGTGCTGGGGATGTCCACAATCCAGTAGCGACAGTAGCGGCTGTTCACGAACCAGCATTGGGCGTTAACCTGCCACAGGTCCGCCCAGCGGACCGTGAGATGGTGCTGGTGGTGGTGCTCCCGGACCCACCGGGCGCTGCTGCTGAGGTAGGTCCCACACATGCCGCAGCACCAGACGCGGTGGGTAGGCAGCTGGGGGATGGGTTCGCTGCCCGCGGGCAGCGGTGGGAAGTCGGTGTGGTCCTGCCAGGGCCGCACGCCCTGGGGGAGGGCGAGGAGCTGCAGGCAACGGTCCCGGGCCGCCCGCAGCCAGTGGGTTTCCTGGAGATGTCGCTGCGCCAGGCAGCCTGGGACCACCACCGCGCACGCCCGGCAGATGATGGCGTTGTGATCGCGGAGGTAGTCATACAGCAGTTGCTTGGTCATGGTGGATGGGGCAGGGCAGGGCGGACCAGAGTTGGATGATAATAATAGTGGTGGTGGTGGTGGTTCAGGGTCGTTGAACAGCACGACGGAAAGCGTGGGAAGTGGTGGAAAGGAAGGATGGGTGTGCATCAAGGGCCAGCATGCCTGGGCGGGCGATTCTACAACCTTTATGGTTTTAGGTGCGGCTACCCAGGCAGCCAGGCAGAGGACACATTAGATTACTTTTTTTTTCCTTTCCCCCCTTTTTCCTGGCCTCGCCCGGTCGGTTGGTCCCTGTCATATTTCACCCTGGGGGGGGGGGGGGGGATCCAGCGGGACTGAGATTAATGGATGGATCTCATCCAGTCAGTGGCCTGGTTGGCCCTGATGGATCTGGGCAGGTATTGACTGGTTGAGTATATAATTGACGCCTCATTCATCCCTAAGTAAGAGGGCCCAGTGGCGTCCCAGGACCTTTGTGTGATCAGGGGGTTTTGGTCTTTGATACCTGTCAACTCACTAATCCACTGTGCGTGCGGCTGTGGATTAGCTCATGCCATGGCCGGCAGCCGCCATCATGGGGATCTGGGGGAGCAATTGGTCCAGGTTGCAGCCGGCCGCGGCCGCCAGTGACAGGTCAGGGTAGGACATCCCCAGTGGCTGCAGTGGGTCCAGTCGGTCCTGCACTTACCACATCTGGCGCAGAATATAGTGCGGCCACAGGGGGGAGCAGTGCACCTGGCGAAACCAGCAGGGCGAGCCGATCCCGACAGGTGCACGCTGTTTGCGCAGCCACGCCGGCAGATCGGGACCCCGCCAGTGCCACAGTTAGATGCAGTCGGGGGAGCGGAATCCAATGCAACCCCGATCGGCCCGCCCCGACCCCGGGGGCGGAGGCGAGGGCGCGCGGCAGCGGCCGGACAGGGGGGTCGCGGGACGGACAGCCGACGGGGCGACGGGGACCTTGGTCCCGGTCGTGTAGGGGTAGGTAGGAGTTACCCTCTTCCCCTCCCCCCCTGCCAACCCTAGGATTAGTAGGATGCCCTCCCCTAGGCATGGATCATTATAATGTTAGGGCTGTCCTGTAATACCAGAAGGAACAGCTGCAAGAGAAGGAACAGCAGTATATGAAGGCTGCTATGGAAAGGGACCAAGCCTGTTTCTTAGCTACCCCTACTATAAATACGCCCGTATCTACGCCTGTGCATGAGCCCGTCGCTGAGAAGCCTGTAGTTGCTCCAGTGGGAGCGCCTGTGTCGACTACTACCCCATCTTCCAAAGCCGCCGGATTATCAGAACGGCTCCCCAACCCTGATAAGTTTGAGGGCGACTGAAAGGACCTTCGGCGCTTTATAGCCCAGATTCAAGAGAAAATGAATGTTAACCTTGATCATTTCCCAACACCACAGAGCCAGATGGCCTATGTGAACAACCGCTTGAAGGGTGCACCCTACGCCCAGATCCTACCCTATATTAAGAGGGGAATCTATACCCTCAACGACTACCAAGATATCCTGGACATCCTAGAGCGCGCCTTCAGTGACCCTAATTATGTGAATAATGCCTGTAACAAGCTGTTCAACCTGCGCCAAACTAATAAAGAGTTCAGCACCTTCTTTGCGGAATTCCAACACTTGGCTCTTAAAGGCGAGATGCCTAAAGAAACCCTATCTACCCTGCTTGAACAAGGTATCAGTCACGAACTCCGAAGCATGCTTATGCACAACCAGCCCCCAAGCTGGGAGTATCACCAGTTTGCCAGATTCCTGCAGGACCTTGAGAACCACCGCCGCCAGTACACCACAAACCAGCCTCCTGTTGTTAAGACATATGCTGCTACTACCAGACCTACTCAGCGCCCCCAGTCACCCTAAAGCCCTAGCCCTATCACTGCTAAGTCTACTGAGCAACCCTGGCGCCCTACTATTCAGAGGAATGAGCATACGCCAGCGCAACAATACGACCCCATAGACCTAGGTACTACCCAACGCCCGATGAGAAGGGGATATAGCCCCTCCCGCCGTGAGACAGGCGCCTGCTTCCGTTGTAGCTCCCTGGAACACCGGATTAGGGACTGCCCCTACCCCGATACCCGCCAAAGGGTTCAAATCATGGCCTCTTATGGACCACGCCCGGAGAGTCCCCAGAGAGGATGGATCCCAGAATCTAGAAGCCTATCGCCCAGCCAGACCTCCTCAGTAAAAGGAGTGAGCCTGGAGTAAGCTGCGACCAGGCTCAGGAACCATGTGTTATTTAAATTTCTGCCACCGCTGTTTATGGACTTGACCTTAAGGAATAAATATAATGATTAAAAGCTATGATACTACCTGTGACCCTAGAGAAGGAAGAGAAGAAGATGAAATTACTAACTTACGCCCTGTTAGACACCGGAGCCGAAGGACGAGGATTTATTGATAAAGGATGGGCTGAAGACCAGAAGCTAGAGCTCATCCCCCTAGAAGACCCAATAACCCTGCATACATTTGATGGAAGAGAACCAGAGAATGGGAAGATAACCCACTATGTCTAGATGGATATGAGAATTGAGGATCACTTTGAGAAAGACATAAGGTTTTACATTGTCCAGTTAGCACACTACCCTGTTATGCTAGGAATACCTTAGATAAAGGTACACGACCCCCTGATATAATTCGCAGCCCATAGCATTATGTTTGATAGTGATTACTGCTAGAAATACTATAACACCCCCCAGAAGCTAACCAAGAGACAAGCCCTGCATGACATTCCCCCGAAGACTCAGCCTAGATACCTGCCCCCGCGACTGAAAGGACTGGAGAAGAGAGATATAGCTTTTATCTCCTTAGCAGCCTGTTCAGCTTACACCCAAAGAAATGCTCAGATGTTCATAATCACCCTGGAAGATCTTGAAGCCGCCCTAAGGATTAAGAAAGCTCAGAAGGAAGACCTCATCAACCTATTACCTGAAGAATTCAAAGACTATGCTGATGTTTTCTCCCCTAAGGAGGCTGAGTGCCTGCCACCACACTGCCCCTACAACCACAACATTAAGCTGTTAGAGGGAAAGACCCTCCTGTTTGGCCCCCTGTATGCCATGTCCCAAGAAGAGTTGAAAGTCCTAAAGGAATGGATCGAAGAGAACCTGAGGAAGGGCTTCATCCGCCCTAGTTCATCACCCGCCGCGTCGCCTATCCTGTTTATTAAGAAGCCAGATGGAGGCATACAAATCTGCGTCAATTACCGAGCCCTGAATGCTATGACTGCTAAGGATCAATACCCGCTGCCCCTGACGAAGGAAACCCTGAATAACCTGAAAGGGATGAAATATTTCACGAAGATTGATATCATCTCAGCATTCAATAATATCCGCATTAAGAAAGGACAAGAATACCTGACAGCTTTCCGTACCCAACTAGGCCTGTTTGAGTCCCTGGTAATGCCCTTTAGGCTGACGGGAGCACCTGCAACCTTTCAGCAATTCATTAATGATACCCTGCGAGATTACCTTAATGATATCCTGGTTTACAGCAAGACCCGCGCTGAGCATGTAACCCATGTCCGCTCCGTCCTGCAGAAACTACGAGAAGCTGGCCTGTACGCGAAGATCCAGAACTGCGAGTTCATTATCCCTGAAACCAAGTTCCTAGGCATTATCATTGGCCAGGATAGCATCCGCATGGACCCTGATAAGGTGAAAACGATTGTCAACTGGCAAGTTCCGACCTGCGTTAATGATGTTCAGGCCTTTATTGGTTTTAGCAACTTTTACCGGCGATTTATCAAGGATTTCTCAAAGATTATTGCTCCCTTGGTGAACCTGACTAGGAAGGATGTCCTATTTATGTGGACCACAACCTGTAAACTGAGCTTTGAAGCCCTGAAGAAGGCATTTGTGAACGCCCCAATCCTGAAACCATTCGACTGGACAAGAGACGTCATGGTTGAGACTGACTCTTCTGATTACATGTCCGCTGGTGTGATGTCCCAGTATAACAATGAAGGAGTCCTGCACCCTGTTGCATTCTTCTCTAAGAAGCTTTCTGTCACCGAATGCAACTATGAAATCTATGATAAGGAGTTGCTTGCCATCGTCCGCTGTTTTGAAGAATGGCGCCCCGAACTAGAGGGTACACCGTCGCCAATCAAGGTTATAACTGATCACCGCAACCTAGAATATTCCATGTCTACCAAGCTGCTCAACAGACGACAAGCCCGCTGGTCCGAATTCCTGTCCCGCTTCAACTTTAGAATCATGTATCGACCTGGGAAGCAAGGAGTTAAGCCTGATGCTCTGACCAGGAGGTCAGAAGATCTCCCTAAGGAGGGGGATGAACGGCTACAACACCAGAGCCAGACAATTCTTAAAAAAGAAAACCTCGACCCTGAAATTCAGAACTCAGTGAAACTAGAAGCCATCACAAGGAGCCAGACTAACCAAAACCCAACTAGAAATAGCCAGTCAGCTACAAGAAGAGTTCGCTTTGCAGACCCAGTAGCCCGAGTTGTCAGAACACCTAAGGAACCCACCGGAGTGCCTGCCCGACCAGCTCGGACAGTTCAACCAGATCAACCAGACCAACCGGACCAACTGGACCAGCCGAACCAGCCAGGCGAGCCAGACGAAGCAGACGAACCAGAGCCCCCTCCCAGTATCAAGGAACTACTAGATACTGCCTACCAGTCGGATGATACTGTACAGTCTATCCTGCAAGCACTGGATGAGAATGCTAGTCGACACCCTGAGATCACCCTGGCTGATTGCAGACGACGAGAAAGCTACCTGTACTACTGTGAACGCTTATACATCCCTGACCATGATGAGCTGAGAGCCCAGTTATTGCGAGAATGTCATGACAAGCCTGCTGCTGGACACCCTGGAAAGCATAAGTTATACGAGTTGATAGCACGAGAATACTACTGGCCTGGCATGTACCGATATGTTGATCGCTGGACCCGAAACTGCCACACCTGCTGCCGATCCACCCCGTCTCGTGAAGCCCGCCAAGGAGTGCTACGCCCGCTTCTAGTACCCGAACAATCATGGCAAGACATCTCAATGGACTTTATCACCAGTCTGGTACCTAGTCAAGGCTACGATGCCATACTGGTTGTTGTTGATCGACTCACAAAGATGAGGCACTTTATCCCCTGCCAGACTACCTGCGATGTCGAAGGTGTAGCCCGACTATACGTCCGTCACATATGGAAACACATGGCCTGCCAAGAACAATAGTATCAGACCGTGGCCCTCAGTTTGGCGCCACATTCTGGAAGCACCTGACCCGACGCCTGGATGTTAAGAACCTGCTATCTACTGCTCATTATCCTGAGACTGATGGCCAAACTGAAAGAATGAACGCCATCCTGGAACAATACCTGCGTGCTTATGTTACTTACCTACAAGATGATTGGACCGACTGGCTACCGTTAGCTGAGTTCGCCTCTAACTCTGTCTGATCTGAAGCTACTGGAATCTCGCCCTTCTTCGCGAACTATGGATTCCACCCACGTATGGGGTTCGAACCTGTCCAGCCTGTGAATCACCCTGCTGCCAGAGATGCCGAAGCCTTTGCAAAGAAAATGCAAGATGTCGTCGACTATGTCCGCGCCCAGATCCGCGTTGCCCAGGCCCGTTATGAAGAACAGATGAACCGCCACCGGAGACCTGCCCGCCGTTACCATGTGGGACAACTGGTTTGGTTAGACGCCTGAAATATCAGGACCCTGCGCCCCCAGAAGAAGCTTGACTGGAAACACATAGGGCCATTCCGTATTAAGAAGACTATCACCCCGCACGCCTATAAGCTAGAACTACCAGCTTCTATGAGGATTCACCCTGTGTTTAATGTTAGCCTGCTGCGCCCTGTCGCCGAAGACCCTGTTCCCGGACAAAGACAACCGCCACCACCACCGGTAGAAGTCGAAGGCCTGGAAGAATGGATTGTTGAAGATATCTTAGACTCCCGCTGGGAACGCCGGGGCTGATGGGGCCCCCGTCTGAAGTATACTGTCAAATGGCTGGGCTACGACAACCCTACTGAGGAACCCGCCCATTACCTGAGGAACGCACAAGAGATTGTGGCTAATTTTCACCGCCGCTACCCGAGCAAACCTAAACCAGGGGATGGTCTTGACGGAGCTCGACCCTAAGGAGGGGAGTACTGTCACGGTGCTGCTGTGAATAGGAGTTGGCATCGCTGAGGAGGAATCACGTGACCTTGGGAATATCTTCACCGCACAATTCTGCAACCTGTTTAAAGCTCCTTGAGCTACGTCCTGTCTATAGAGCCTGCCTGTACCAGCCTGCCCTGCAGCCTAAACAGATAGATAGAGACCACTGTAGCCAGCCTGAGTGTTAACTACCTCATTAACCTACTTCTGTTTACTTACTAGCCCGCACCTTGACAATTTCTTAGATATAGATACTAAGACTATCCTAAAGGTCCTATTTACTATAGACTTCTAATTTAAGAATATATATAATTATACTAAGTTTATTAATAATATAATAGTATACTTTAAATAGCACTATTAATACTATATTAAGGAATCCTAAAAGATATAAATAATAGTTCTACTACTTACTAATAAAATTAGAGTGGTTAAACCCAACCCAGAAACCCGAACCCAACCCAACCCAAACCCGCCTTGGGCTGGGTTTGGGTTGGGAATCTTTAACCCATGGGCCGGTTGGGTTCTGGGAACTAGAACCCGTTTGGGTTTTGGGTTGGAAATTGGGTTGGGTTGGATTGGGTTGGGTTTAGATTAGGGGTTCTCTAGAACCCATGTTATTGTAATACAGTTTTACTTACATAGTAAGAATAAATAGGCTAAGTCTACATACAATGAAATCTAACTTAGGTTAGATTTATTATTATAAGAGTAGTAATGAATAAATTAATAATATATTAAGATGCTAACTTAATGTCTCCCATTAAGCATTGCTCGATATTTACCCTGTTCATGCTGGCGACGAGTTGGTCGCCGCAGAACCTGAGGCTGACATGATGTTCGAAGTAAAGTTGGTGAAGGGGGAAGATTATCTTCTTGTACATCATCCAGTAGATCTGCCTGATCTTCCTCAATATCATTAATATCTTCCTCTTCACTAATATAGTCGGGAACATCCACTAGCTCCGCACCATCTTCTTCCTCTATAATCTGACCCCCATCTTCATCATCTTCCTGAATGCCTGCAAATTCTTGTTAAAGCTTAAAATTTTCAGCACACATCTGTATCATTATTGCTTGGATTGTATTTGGGAGACGACGACTTCGGCGGTAGTGACAGACATCTCAAGATGTATTAAAGAGACGCTCAACCCCTACACCACTGATAGGCACAGCTAAGAAGTCTCGCGCAATTAATGCAAGAATTGGATAGCGATTCTCGTACTGTTTCCAATACTCAAGTACATTTGTACCTGAGGGGATCAGGCCTATTATTTATTAGTAAATCTAACTTGAGGTAGATTTATAGAACATACCTTCTTGCAAATAATCCTCAATCTCAGTCAAGACATCATCAGTTTGGGTTGAAACACGAGCTTTACCCTTCCGTGTGACAGCAATAATTCGATCAAGTTCAGAAAGATAGTTGGGAGTGTGATTAGTCTTTACTTTATCTGGAAACACTGCGGCATAATAAGCATAAATATCCTCCAGGGCTCTAGCATACCGGTCATGCCAGTTAACCTCATCATCACTCCATGAATCTTCCTGAAAGACCTTGAGTTTAAACTGCGGAGCCAGAATAGTTGCAATAGCATAGACATATCCCTGTGCATAGTATGTCTTACTATAATACTGACGCAGCTTGTCAATAGCCTTAGATAAGGCATGCCGTAATTCTCTCTTCCAAGTTGTGCGCTTTGATTCCAGTCGTTGTTGGGCATCTTCCAGATGCTGAAATAAGGAGTTGTAGATGTCAAAGGCCTTATGAACAGTAGGTCCATTAAACTGGGATAAGGCAAGTGTAAATGCAAAAAATGGGTGTGTAAGCTGAAGTAGGTATTCAATCCGATGCCACTCTGTATGAGAAGGAAGAAGATATGTAACATCTTCCTTCTCCCACTTTTCTGCAAACTCAGCTAGAGCAGGGCGGATCTTAATAGCACGTCGTAACATAAGATATGTTGAATTCCATCGAGTTTTGCAGTCTTGTTGAAGTCCGAGTGATCTTGGATTAGAAGGGAGGTCACAAAAGGTTTGACGTCGAGTAGGACTTGCATTAACAAATCGAGCAAATTTTCGAACCTAGTAATATATACTGTTAGTATAGATTCTAACCTAAGTTAGATTTACATACCTTCTCAAGTGTAGCTGCAAATCCCTCTGAATGGATACATCGGTCGCTTGAATCCCAGACCATCTCAATCTCATCATTTGTGGCTTCAACCTTCAGGAAAGTAAAGAGTTCCTTTACAGCAAGTTGCAGGACATGAGCAAGACAAGGAATATGAACCTGTGAGTTAACAACTTCAGCAACTGATGAATCCTGGAGTATTTCCACAATCCGAGGAGACTGAAGGTCCTTCCGAAGCTTATAAGTAATAGCATCCATCATTGTTGAATTATTTGCCGCATTATCTGTTGTAACTGCTATGACATGATGCTGGAGGTGGACTGATTCAAGCACTGATACTACCTTCTGTGCAAGGTTATCGCCTGTATGATGAATATTCATTGGCTCAAACCCTAGGAGTACCTCATGATACTTCCAATCTGAGCTAAGGAAGTACTTAGTAATTGCTAGGAAGGAGTTTTGTGATGAACTAGTCCATGCATCAACTGCAAGAGAGATCTTGGACCGCTGAGGGATCAAGGAAAGGGTCTCAGCTTGAATTGTATTTGACTGCTCAAGTAAACAGTGCTTGATTATATGCCGATTTGGTAGGTCAAGTGTACGTGCTCCAGCTGCCATAGTAAGTAATCGGCGAAATTGAGGGTGTTCAACTGTTCGAAATGGGAGGCGAGCTGCAAGTATAAACCGAAGGATTTGATCCTTAAAGTTTTCAGGTGAATAAGCCATACAGGCTAAGTAATTAGCAATAGAAATCTAACTGAAGTTAGATTTAATACTTACATGGTTTATAAGTAGACTGCTTAGCTTCTTTTGGGAAGAAGATGTTTTCTTGATCTCTGCGCAGTAAGCTTTGGTGTGCCGTGACATTGTTGTATTGCCAGTGCCATGACAAGGGTGGAGGAGAAGACGACCACAATGTTTACATCGCACTGAAGGTTTTCCCTCAGGAAAGGATGCACCTTCATCAAAATCTGCCCATGCCAGAGATGTCCGTTCCCTTCCCCAGCTAACCTTTTGCTTCTTGGATTGCATATCCTTGGCCCCTTTTGTTTCCCGCCACCATGATTGGAATGCCGGCTCATAGTCCTTGCTAAATAGCATAAACTTGTTTTTTCCATTTCGATTAAGAATTTGGAGGTCTGGGTGGAGAGTAGGCTGTATAATACTTGTCCGTGAATGGCGTGGAGTATCATCTGACTGTAATAAAGAGAAGGCTGATCTAGATGGACCTGGAGTGCATCTAGGGGTATAACTACCAATAGTAGATGATGGCCCTGTTGAGGAGGGAGAATCAACTAACATTAGATTTAAAGAATCATCAGGAAATGAAGATTGAGACATCTTTGTAGCTCTACTCTCTTCTCTAAGTCAACTTTCACTATGCTTAAATAAGTTTCTATATTATAAACATAATACTTTAGAGGTCTACTTCATTACTAGAGAAATAAGGCATTAAAGTTACCATAGCAATTGCAATCTAACCTAAGTTAGATTTCATTACATTCCAAATTCCAAGCGTTAATGATCACCCTGTGTAATACCTGAATACCAGCATACCCCTGCGCATAAAGAAATGTAAATCTAACTAGTTAGATTTGCGCCTCTTACTGGCTGCCCCCTTCGTCTCCTTCCTTGCTCTTTTCTTGCTTTTTTCACCCCCATCTCCACCACCTGCATTACTACCTCCTTGACCTGCTTTAGCAGACCCACGACCTGCTTTACCAGCTCCCTGACCTCCTTTACCAGCTCCATGATTGTCATCACTGACATCATTATCATCACTCTCCTCCGACTGTGCATTATTATTGATAACAGCATTGTTCTGAGGGCCAGACTGGGATGGAGCAGGGCCAGACTGGGATGGTGTTGAAGAGCTTGACTGAGGAATGCCAAGCGATTGAGCTTGGACTTTCTTTAAGAGGATCTGACTACCCTTGTCTCCCTTAATTAAGTCGGCACTCTTCGGGATGGCGGTAGTAAATCCAGGGCGGGTCTCAGCAGTCCTCTCCTGATGATTGTTGATATTCATGTGGTAAGGCGATAGGTCCTCAATCATGTTATCCAGCTCTGGGTTCCACCCATTGGTATGTAGGATGAGTGCATACTGATGCAGGTGATCCATGGCAGTCTTCCATTCTTCCTATAGATAGTCAGAACCAGATCTAACTTGGGTTAGAAAGATACTTACCTCATCAGAGATGACAGATGCTTTTGAACGAGTTACTTGTGATGGGAACCCTTTCTCTAAGGTTTCCAACATAATCTGCTTCAGTGTGCGATACCCCCAGAGAGCACCTAAGACATTAGCTTCTGAGGTAAAGGACCTCTTCATACTATCAGTATTAAGGACCCGTACACCTCGGACCATTGGGTTCTGTGCCCAGTTTACTTGTGCTGATAGGTGTCCCCATGCCGTCCAGTTCACAAGATTTTCTTGCTAAAACCCATGGTTAGTAGTTTTATAAATCTAAGCCAAGTAAGATTACATACCAGCTTTGATAGGTCGTTGTACACGACCATCTTGCCTGCAAGGGCTGGACCCGCGTAGCTAAGAGCGATCTTAACCATTTTGGCCCAGTGCCGGTATTTAAATCGCTCTGAGTATACAATCCAATCCGGGGAGGCTTCGGTGTTCATTTTCTCATTGGGTAGCGTAGTCAACTAAGAATAGATTAGTATGAATCTAACTTAAGTTAGATTTTTCACTTACAGCTTTGGTGAGCTCAGCATCTCGCCAGAGTGGTTCCTCCTCCACTTCATCCCATACTTCATTAATGAGGCGCTCAGCAACCTGGGATGTATCTGCATTAGGCTCATAGCCCCGCACACCACCAGCAGTAAGGGTTGAATCTTCCAGAATAACTGTTTGGACCTCATTTCTCCAAGAAAAGCTTTGCAATGTCTTCTTCGCAGCTTCAGGATACTTCCACTCTGGATCAAACCAGTATGTCATATGCTTCAACACTTTCGCAGTAGGCTCAGCCACATCCTTGGCTATCATTGTCCATGTCTGCCATGAGGGGCACTTTAAGTCCGGGTGGTTCCAGAGGTTTTCAAACAGATGACAATACTCGTCATCAGACAATGTTCTGAAAAAATCAGGGCGGCGGGTCTGGTATGTAGCTCCTCTCTTCGTAAATGGTTTCATCTGTGGCAGTGTCAAGTTGCCATCAGTATATGCAGTGGGGAGTCGCAGCAGATTATGGTTGAGGGCCCCATTCATGTAATCATCATTTGTGGGGAAGGACAAGGGTCGAAGAATGCTATGTTCTCTGGGAACAGGGAGTGTCATCAACTCTGACCAGTCTGCTCCAGTGACCTTTGAGGACAGGTCACCAAAGATAGTTCTTTCAAATGTGAAGAACTCTTCAAAATGCCGAAACCAAATCTAACTTGAGTTAGATTTCTGTATCATGTATACTATTAGAACACATACCTGATCTAGCTTGACCATCTTGTCAGCCGTAGTGAAGTTGAAGTGGAGAGCCCCATATGGTGTTGAGCAGTACTGTTTAAACAGCCTCTTGAACCCTGTATGCTTCAGGATTGAAAGAATGCGATGAACCCATGTAAGATCAATGCCAAGCATTTGAGAGAGCCATTCTTTGAGTTTACTGGATGTAAGGAGCTTCTTCTGTTCTGCCAGGGACTTGGCCTCAAAGACTTCAAGTATGCGAATAAGAAAAACACCATCCGCATCTGGATTTTGCACCTCACGGCGGTTAGACCGTAACGCCATCCACATTTCCATGTTGAAGTCATCACTTGCGTAGATGTCAACAGCCCATAAATAGTCCTATATATATATGTTAGTAGATCAAAATCTAACTCAAGTTAGATTTCACTTACTTCATCAGTGGGCGCCTTTACGGGAGGAGGTGGGGAAGTCCCATCATCAGGAGGTGGTGGTGGATTAACTGCTGCAGCGGCCTGATCCACTAATAGACTCTCAAGGGCTAGCTTTCGATGCTGACCCGCATCAAGTGTCAGGTTTGGAATGTCGCTCGGCCAATCAAAAAGAATAACATCATTTGGTTGAGCATCCTTCAGACCGACAGTATTTCGCATAATCTCCTCAATGACCTGTGTTGTCCACTGCACAACAGGCTTTCCTTTATGTAAGGGCACAACAGCTGCTGGTGGACTTGCTGAATATTGCGAAGCCATATGCTTAAGGAATAGTTTGAAATCATTGCGAGTAATGTCGGCCTTCATTCGGGTCTCAGCATCCAGACGGCGCACTCCTGATGCCAAAGAATTTCGGAGCTTTTCGATATGTGCAGGGTTGATCTCTCTATTCTTTCCTTTGGGCCACTGTGGATTCAGAAGGCGAACATCAATTATTATTATTATTATTAATTTCATTCACGCGTCTGTCAGCCCTATCGGCCGAGTGGCGGCAGGTCCCTGCCGGCGGCTGGGTACGCCGCTACTACCTTACATACACTTGATCCACAGCGAGCATGAATTCGTCCCTAATACCCCTGTAGATGCGCCCAGTGTAATGCCCGTTGCTCCTATCTTCGCGTCTAGATGATCCAACCACCCCGAGAGGTGTCTAGCCTAGTGTTCTCCCTCGTCAAATAAGCCCTGCAAGCGAGCCGTGGCGGTACACAGGTTAGGGGTCGCCACCCGTATTGCTAACCCGGAATGTGTCTGGTAAGCCCTGGAACTGGCCTAGGAGCCTCGTAGCAATCATGAAGCGGGCGGCTCGCCGTACTGACTCAGGCTCGCGAAGCAGGCGAGCGTAGTCAGTCTCCCGTGAGTGCTGCCAGACCGTACGGAGCCGGAGCCCCGCGTAGGTCGGGCAGGTGATCAGTATATGCTGAACATCTTGACGGCCTAGGCCGCAGGTACAATCCACCGTGGGCATCGCCCCGAACAAGCCGAGATAGCTTGCCAGCGCGATCTTACCAGTCTGCATCTGTATCACCACTGAGCTGGCCGCGCGCTTCAAGCCCACATGGAGCTGGAGCACAGCGCGGCTTGGGGCTGTAAAGATTCTCCGTAGGGCTGCGCCATGAGCATGATTGGCCCAGAACCGGTGCCAGTGCTCCCTCATCGAGGCCTGGAGGCGGCGGCGTAGTGAGGCGTAGAGCACTGGCCCTGCCGGCTCGCCGTCACCCTCTGCCGCGTCCTTGGCCAGGCGATCAGCTCGTTCGTG